TTTTTTTTTTTACTTACGAAAGAAGGGATGATCCCCATGTGAATAGCTGCATCGCTACAAACCCCCCACCATGGGTGATGTCAAGGAAGTAGAAGTGGAGGAGAAATGGAAACTACACAACGAGCAAGGTTAGCTGTGCAGAGGTCGGTGTGTAGTAATTGGTGAATGGATTCATCCGCTGTGTTGGCTGGGTTTCGCAAGAGATATAATAACCTTTCCCCTCTGCTCAAAAGTCGCTGCGCACACAACCCTCCATTTCTCCCCCCGACAGAACAACCCTCCATGCTGCAGACCCTATACGGCTCGATCATAGCCTCGACGCTCAGCAGAGTTCTGCTTTACCCACTTGACACAGTGAAAGTAAATAAACAAGTGGACACGAGCAACAGACAAGTGGGGGGTGCTGCCAGGCCAGCCAGCTATGCATGCACCTCCAATCGCCTGAACATAGGTAGAACCTGCTTTTTCCTCCCGGCCTTTATACAAAAGTTTGGATACAGGGGGCTCTACAGCGGTTTTGTGTAAGTGCGCACAGGAGAGTGGGGCAACGTCATGGGGGCATGTCTGATCCGTCTCACACGACTTAAGTCGCCCTTCACCCCCACCCCCTTTGCAGCTTCTCCGCCATGACGACCATCCCGGCGACGAGCCTCTACTTCTGCTGCTTCGAGTACCTCAAGTGGATCAAAATAAACTGGAACGACAAACTACGGGACGAGAAAACGGGGCCAGGACAAACTACCAACTCATTGAGTTTTGTGAATTACTTCACCATAGGTATGGCTCCTTCTTGGCCGTCTTCACCATAAGGCGTGGAAAAAAAAAAAAGGGGGACCTGCGGGAATCGCCTTCCCCTCTCTGTGCTGTGGTGGCCATCACACAGTGTTATTCCCCTCCCATTTTCTATTTCATTTCCCCCCCCTTACCGCTACCCGACATGCAGCTTTCCTGGCCGAGGCCATGTCCTGCGTCCTGTTCGTCCCAATTGATGTTATTAAGGAGAGGCTACAGGTGAGTAGGTCGATTAGTGCAGTACACCATCTCTCCTATACGCTTCTCACACCCCTACCATGTTGTCCCTTAACGTGGGGTCCCACATTTTTTTTTTTTTTTTTTTTTTTTTACCCTTTTCCTTTTTTCCCCTCATTTTGAAGGCGCAACGGTATTTGCAACTGAAGGAGTACAAGACGTCCTATCACCTGGTGAAGGATTTAATTCGCAAGGAGGGATTCTTCAGGGTAATTTTTACGCACTATGAAGAATGGATAATTGAATGGGGTTGTCTCCCCCTCCGTGGCAGTAACTAACTTCATGTGCTGCTTTTCTTTTTTCCCCCCCCCCTTCACAGATGTACAGAGGCTACATCTCTACCTGCTTAACCTATGGCATGTTTGGAGGCTCATTCTTCTTTCTGCAAAATGTAAAAAAAAGGGTCCACCCCGTTTCGGCGTGGCCAAAAGGGGATGCATATAACGAAGCAACCGAAATGAGCTGCACAAGGGGGGCGAAAATGTCTTATGAGTTTGTGACTGCCCGTTTTGTTCCCGTTTCGCTACCTGTATATAATACACACACATAAACACAAGTACTTTAACCCCCCCCTCTCCATGTCATTCTCCACGCTTTCATTTCTGCCCCCCACCCCCTGACGCACCAGATGGGAATGGACCTCATGAAAAGATTAGAAATCGAGACATCCAATTTTAACAGCCTCAAATTGAATCTAATTTGTTCGATGCTGTCTGGAATTATAACTTCCCCTCTTGAAGTAGTTAGGATAAGGTATTAACTTTTTTTTTTTTTTTTTTTTTGAAAAAAAGTTAACTTGTGCAGGTTTTTTTTTTTTTTTTTTTTTTTTTTTACCTGACCCGATCATACACTTAACAACAGAAGCATATTCACATCACTTGCAGTTACATTTTTCCACGTGCCCTCCTCACAATTTCTTCACGTTGCCCTTGTCGCATAAATCCACTAAGGGATTCTTGTACTTCTTGTCCAAGTCGTTTTGAAAACTCATGACGCTACTGTTGAGAGCGTTCGGGTCGCAGTCGTTTTTCCTATTCTCTCGTGAGGAAAAGTTAAATTGGCTCTTGAGCACTTCCAGATATTTTAGGTTCATTTCATTCACAGCGTTTTTGTTGGCTGGACTGTTAAAAAGACCAATCGTCTCATTGTTGAGCAACTTTTTATAATTGCTATTGCGAAGTCCATTTAACTCGTTGGCAGCGCTGTTGTTGGCCCCTGCCTTCTGCCCCGCGGTGCTGTTCACTCCATTTTTCATGTTCTTCTTCATGTGAATCAGAGCGAGCAAGTTCGAGTCACATGCGCCGCTGCCACTACCATCGTTGTAGGGGTTCATTTTGTGGGAGAAGTGTTCCTGATGCTCCGTGTCTGCATTGCCAGCGCTTCCTCCTACGCCATGGTCATAAAGGCTTTTCTCTCCATTCAGCTTCACATTTTGCGCGTTACCACCAAGAGTTAGAAGTTTATTCACGTTTTTGTAATCATCCGCGTCTATACCACCTTTCATATTTCTGTCCTTGGGAATCGCGTTGTGATTTTTCATGTCCTTCGATTTGGCGTTGTTCGATCCTGTGCGGCTGTTTCTCGCACCCACCTGGTTTCCGTTGCCGTTTCGGTTGGGGGGTATCCCCTGGCTCATGTTGTAGTTGGTGGCGTTCCCTCCCATTTGGGTGTTCCTGTTTCCGCTTACATTACCACCAGGAGAGTTATTCATGAAGCCTGTGTTGTCCAGTCCGTCACTCAACCCTCCCCCAATATACTTCTTCTGCGTTGAGTTGTTCTTTATCGACCTGATCCCTAGGTCCACGTTATTACCATTTCCCATGCTCATATTCATGGAGGGTTTTTTCCTGGACTTCTTGGGTGTCCCCGCACCATTGTTTTGACCGTTCAAATGGCTTGCCACAATGGGGCCGCTTCCACCACTCATCCCCCCATTTGCACTATGACTGCTAGCATTCAACATGCTACTCTTCAGAGCGCTGTTGTTCCTCCCTCGGTTTCCATTCATCGTGTTGTAAAACATGGCATTTGTAACGTTGCCATTCTTGTTACCGCTGACATTTCTGGCGCCATCCATAAAATCGTCCAGCACCTGCGCCGCACCGCTAATGCCTCTTCCACCGCCGCCCTCGCCCAGGCTCACCTTCGCACCGCCACCTGTCATCACATCCCGCCCAGAGAGGGACAGAGGGATGGACTCGTTTTTCGAAAAGGCATAATCCCAGTAGCTCTTAAAGTCTTCACACAAAATGTCTTGGTTCATGTCACTCATCCCGCTGACCCCTTTCATGCCGCTCATCTCGCCTATCCCATCCATCCCGTCCATGGGGCTGAGGCCACCCATGGGGTTTAAACCACCCATGGAGCTTAGACCACTCATGGCGCCTAGGCTGCCAACTCGATTGAGGCCCGCCAGCAGGTAGTCCAGTCGCTCATAGCACCTCAGGATTTTGTTGTACAGCTCCGACGGAATGTATTTACAAACGTTCTGGTTAAGAATCATTTCTTCCAACAGGAGGGATGTATTTAGTATGTCCACTTTATACAGCTCGAAAACGTTTTTCATCTCGTTTAATCTCGTCTGTTCCTCTGTCCTCACATGCTCTCCCTGCCTCGTACTCACGTTAGCATAGTCCTCTTCCGCTTCATCCTTCACGAGGTTGTGATTAAAGAAGGGCATCATGTTTTCTCCTCGAACGATGCTGTCGTAGCAGCTGTTGTTCCTGTTACTACTATCTAGGTACATACTTAAACTGTCATTGAAGCTTTTGGGCATGCTTTCCATGAAGGTGTTCAGCTCGACTTCATTAACGTTGAGTACATCTGAACCCATTCTCGTCTCGACGGCGTTCTTCTGCGATGGTTTGGAGTTCCCTTGGGTTGTGATATTCGCCAAGGTACCCATCCCTTCAGCGTCCACGGGAAAGTTTACAACACCTCCTAGTCCTGCTCCTAAACCACTACCGCTGTTTCCCCTCATGGTGGAGTGGTGTACTGCTCCCCCCCCTCCTTTGGCCATGGCCTCACCATTCTTGTTGTCGCTGCTTCCTCCCTCTGTGCCCATTTGGCCTTGGAAGGATAAGTCTCCCGTTCCACTTGGCCCTACACCCTTCAGTACGGAGTTATTAAATGCGAACAAGGAATGCGCAGGGGGTACAACGCTGGAGCCGCTTTTATTATTACTACTAACATAAGCTGCCTTATCATTTGCGGGGACGCTCATCTGTGGATCTGTAACTCCCCCAGTGCCAACCTTCACCTGACCTGCCGCAGTTACATTACCGCCATGCATCAGTTGGTCCATCAAATCTGTGCTCTTCACTTTACCATTATGCATATTGGGTTGGGAGCGGGTGGGTGCATTATTTGCTCCACTTCCTTCATGTTGCCCGTTCTCTCTTCTTCTCCCTTCAAGATGTACTTCCTGCGAATCGCTTGCCACACCAGCATGACTGTTCAGAAGATCTATGCTGTTCCTAACGCTTTGGTTCGTACTACCTACACCCATAAAAATGTTTTCACTTTCCTTGTCTGGGTCGTTAGCTCCCCCTGTCTCCACCCCCTTCTGTGCACCCTTCTTCTTTCCATTGAAGGCATTTACCAGCATACTGTATAGACTCCGCTTATTTTCTTTACCCCCTTGTGTGGTTCCTCCCATGGTTGCGTTGTCCTTCTCTGAACCACCTGCAGCGGGTGTCCCCATCATCATGCCGAAATCGTTCGCCACACCGTGCGCAACACTGTTGGCGTCCATGCCAGATGCATACATAGCAGCCACTGCGCTACCTTTTCCACCCCCTCCTTTGGCAATCTCTTCCTCCTCACTAGTCCTTCCACCCATGCTGTTCTTAACTCCTTTGTTCCCTCCTCCAGGGTGGTGATCATTAAAATTGGGATGCCTGTTATCGCCCATATGCCCCGTCATCCTTCCTTTGCGTGCATTCGAATGTCCTTCATTTTTCAAATCCTCCACTGTGTAGTTCATGGAGCCTTCTCCTCCGTTAATACCTACCATCCCGAGTGGCCCACCTTGAATGCTGCCCTCCAGTTGACACAACTTATTTATATTTTCATTTGAAAATGACTTCACCGATTTTACATCATAATAGTCATATGCATTGTTGTTGAGATGGCCTGCACCCATTTCCATGTTTGTACTGAAGCAATCATTATCGCTTCTCTTTTCTCCTGGGGATGACTTTTCCGTTCTGTTTATACGATTGGGTGGTGTAGCAGCGGAGAGGGTACCATTTTCATGTGATGCAAGAAGCCCATCCTTTAACTTGTCTGCGTTCCTTTTAGGTGTGGCTCCGTCCGCGGCCTTTCCTCCTGCATTGGCTCCTTTCTTCTTCTTCACGCTTGCTCCTTTCACCATTCCACCAGTCGCAGCTGCCGCTCCACCGCTAACGGCCGCCGCCACACCCCCACCTGTTGTTGTCACCTCATCTCCATCAGGCAAATACCGCGAGTACTTATCCTTTATAAACATTTTAAAAAAGGCTTTATCAAGTACGAAGTTACCACCCTTGTCCTCCACGGGTCTCCCACTAGACAATAACTCCACGACGTAACTGTGTTCTTCATGAATATATTTATTAATCTGATTGACCGTGACGCAGAGAGGAAGGATCATGTTAATGTCCTCCCCATAGAGGTATTCAAAGAAGGAATAAATATTTGGTGAAGACGTCAGGTAAAGTACTTCGGTGAAAATGGTTTTTCTGCTTTTCTTTACATCACCCTTGTTTATTTCCTTCGCATCGTTCTTAATAATTATTTCCTTATTTCCAATTTTGTATATATAGGTAGACCACAAAATGGAGAATTGAATCATTTGTAAAGTTTCTTGTGATATGTCGTAGTATTCATTGGCTAGCTTAATTTGTGCTTCTGTTAAAAAAGACGAATTCAAAAAATTTTTTTTTTTTTCTTTAAAATCCTTAGGTACACTTAAAAATTCAATAATGCCTAATTCAGATAATTTATCCCATATGTTCAATTTAAGATTTACCATTTTTTGCCTAATGATTTCACTCTTTTGGCACACCAATTTGAGCTCATTTGCTACATAGCTACACATGAGACAAATGAACGCATCGTTTTGTATATCCTCTGTGGTGGTGGCCGCAGTGGCCGTCCCAGTGCTTGCCCCCCCACTCCCCTTGGCGGCTCTGTCCGCGTTACTCCTCAACAGTTTGTTATTGTACAGGTAGAGTAAGCCGGGGAAACTAAAAGGAAGGAACGAGTTATCCTTCCACAGCTCCTTCATGTCTAACACGGCGGCGCAATCGAGGATGATGTAGAGGGGGAGGCTACTAACAGTATCGCTCATCATGTTCATGCGGTCATTCCCCTGGGGGTATAATTCTGGGGTGAAAGGTTCCTCCTCGCCACCCTTGTGTAGCCGAAGGGGGTCACCCATTGCGCCCAGTGCACTCTTCCTCACTCTGAATGTATCCCCACGGTTGTCATGATGATGGTCCCCTTCAACATTACCATCCTTTTCGTCCTTCTCCTCCAACACCTCTTCCAACTCCTGGTATCCTCCCTCGAGTGGACTCACAGCCATTTTGTCCTTTTTCTTTTTTTTTTTCTTTTTCTTCTTTTTTCCTTTTTTCTTCTTCTGGGTAGGGTCAGCCACGTTGGCAGAGTCTTCATCATCCTCCTCCTCATCATCATCGTCCTCCTCGTCGTAGTCCTCCTCATCGCGTCCGTGTGTCTGTGCCCCCGCGACGGTTCCATTCTTCCTTGCATAAAGGGAGGCCGCGTCGGTCAGCTGGCCATTTTTCTCCTTTCCCTTTAGGCCTTTTTTAGACCCCGCCTTAAAGGAGTTTCTCCGCTTGCTGTAGTAATCATCATCGCTATCGTCTTCTTCATCGTCGTCCTCTTCCTCTTCTTCTTCTTCTTCCTCCTCCTCCTCCTCCTCATCATCATCGTCATCCTCCTCGTCTTCCTCAGAGTAATCATCCTCGTCGTCCTCCTCCTCTTCTTCCTCTTCTTCCTCGTCATCGTCTTCCTCCTCCTCCTCTTCCTCATAATCTTCTTCTTCTTCATCTCCATCGTCGTCGTCGTCCACCTCATCCGCACTCACATCATGGAGGAGTCTGCCCTTAATGCTTCGCTTTCCCGAGTTGGTCATTTTCTTTCTAACAGCGGTGGTTGCCTTGTCGTTCCTACCTTTGTGCTTCGTTGGGCTCTCCGTCGCACTTGCCACGCCATCCCCCGACTTGGCCAGGGCCCCTTTCGCAGCGCTCTTGGAGGCGATCTTAGACACACTCTTAGAGACGCTCTTAGAGCCTCCCTTCGAGGCACCACTGCGCATCTGCGCATTTGAATCCCCCTTGGAAGAAAGGAGTGCTGCCTGTTGGTCATCCTCCTCCTGCTTCACATCCCCTTTATTATTCTCCACGTGGACGCTGTTGTGCATCCTACCCGCATCGGTGACTTCCGAGGGAGAAGACAACTCCCTCTTCTTCTCCTCCTTCATCACTTTCCCATTGGCAATAGAGACGGCCTGACCAGAACTATCCTTCTGATGTATGAACATATACACATGCATGATCGGCGTATTCCTCACTGTAGCATTTAAACATTTATAAGGACAACAACGCTTGTCACTTTTTAAAGCCGCACATATAATTAAGTTACTCTTGTACCCCCTCTTCTTCCTAGCATACTCTTCAACTTCTTTAAGAATTTCTTTAGGATTTTGAATACAATTATATTCTAGCCGTATCCACACAGGGATCTGTAAATGCTTGTATGAATTTTGGTACTTCTCGTACCTAGGGTAAACATAATTATTTTCTTTCTTGGCTTGTACGAAACTAAGTAGTAATTCTTTACATGTGTTATCTTGAACGAAGTTGTGTGACAAATGTAATTCTTCCATGGGTATCTTCTGCACATAAACTAGCTGTTTGATTAAAGACACTCCTTCATCCTTTATATTATTTTTATACAACTTCAATATATGCACTCCCACATTTTCACTATAATTTAATATGAACTTTAATAACGTTTTTATTCCTGTGCAGGTGATATAATTCTCGCTTAGGTCTATGTTCAGGCAATAATAATTATTGTATACCACTTTTATATATTTTTTTAAAATTTTCACCAACTCGATTATGTGATTGTCGTACAGGCCTTTGTTGTTGAGTGAGATGTCAACGTAACGGAGTAACTTCTTCCCTTTGCTGCCTTTGAAGGTCAGCTTCTTGCTCTCACGGATGTATGACTCCATGCTGCAACACACACGCAGGCAAGTAAGCACTTACGCACGTACGTGTGTATTTACGTGCGTACGTATGCGTGTACGCAGGGGGGGAGGGGGGGGGTGAGGATTCGGGAAGGTAAAGTACACCGGGTGTTCGTCCACGCGGTACTTCTAACCCCCCTTTCGCACCCTCCTCGACGCGTGTTCCCCCCGCACGGCCAACCTCCACACTCTGCCTTTCACTTCAAAACCACCCGCCTGTGATCTCCTTTCTCCTCCTTCGACGGACCCTCTTTCCACACTACGTGAAAAAAAACTCCTAGTAACGACGTGCTACCTCCCGCGTTGTCTTCCTAACTTGTGATGACTTCCCTCCTCGCTGCGCATGTATATATAACAAACATGCACAGGACAGGGAGAATATTTTTTTTTGGGGGGGGAAAAAAAAAAAAAAATTCAATCCCGTTCGGTTAATTTGGCAAACGTCGAAACACATAATAATAATATACGAGGGCTTGTCCCATTCGATGCTAATCGGATTAACATCATTCGTACATGGCGCGTGTCATCACGAGCGTGAAAATTGTACTCACATGTGCGCCTTGGGACGAATGCCGTGGGTGTGAGGGCATATGCAATAAGGGATGGGGGGGAAAAAAAAAAAAAAAATAATACAGTAATATAGCAATATAGTAATACAGCAATACAGTAATACAGTGTGACACCCTACGCATGAGCAAACGGGCGAAAATAATTGGGCCTACTCAAAAAAAAAAAAAAAAAAACATACATGCACGGGCGCGCGCGAATTTGTGAACCCAGCGTGCGGCCTGGGGGAAAAAAACTGCCGTCCACCTCACGTACTAATAAAGCCTAAGCACGCCGTCACGCAGTCACGCCGCTACGCAGGCGTAAAGGCGGCTACACAAGCGTGTACAGAAGGGGGTAATATACCAGCAGGTATATGCAGGCAGACGCACAAGCACGTACACTCGTTCACACGGGGGGTCTCACACACGAGTGCGCACTTCGGCAGGCCAGCACCGCATGTACATACATTCACGCCACACCTGCCGGGGCACGTCCTCAGCGTGGACACGGGAAATCAAAAATGGGGCCCTCGAAGGGGGACAGGCAGACAACACGCTGGCAACGGGAAACACACGCGCACACGTGAGTATGAACGTACAGACGTACGGACGTATGGCCGTAGTTTTTTGCCTTAGGCACGCACGTGCCGTAGGGGACAAGGCTCTCACGCCAGAACACTCGCACACGCGATCTCACTTGCTCAAAGCGGTCGATCAAGAGGGGCTGCAACTACGCACTCCTCTTTATATATACACACAACAGATGGATGAGCAGTTTCGCCGCAAATAAAGTACCGATGTAAAAGAAGGGGGTGAGTAGACTGATAAAGAAGGAAGAATGAAGGGGGGATAGTAATATGTAAACATACGGGGGAGAGAGATAATATATTTCTTGGTTTACACAAAAACGTATGGACTTTCACTTTGGCCGTCCGTCCAAATGTGAGAACGTCCTACTTTTGTATATAGTTGTTCGTTCAGCAGTGTTGTAGCACAAAATTGGGTAGGCTGCGTCGGCAGGGGGGAAGGGTGCCTTTTTCTTATTTCACTTTTTAATATATACACGTAACGCAACACACGTTCATAAACGGTTCAAGCGCATAATGCATACACTTGTGTATGTTTGCTCCTGCACGTGACGTTCACCCTCGAAAGGGGGACTTTTCTCTCTGGGGGTCCTGGGATATATGGAGCGGAAACGTGAGAAAAGAACTTTCGTTTGGCCACGTGCGGGGAGGAGGGGGGGTATGCGTTCAAAAAGGAAATAAAAATATATATATATGTACAGGGAAAAACACAAAATGGGCATATGTAAATGATCCGCAAAAATGCGGGATGGGAAAAAGCAGTTATGCAAAAATGTAAACTGCAAAAATGCAATATGAAAATACCAAGTTTGGCCAATCGGCAAAAAAGGTAAAAAAAAAAAAAACGGTCGGTCACAAAAAATGGCCAAGATGAAGAAACAAAACGGTTAAGTCGTAAAAAAATGCAGAAGTTGTGAAAAACGATCGGTCGCAAAAACGACCAAGTGAAAAAAACTTTCCAAGTCGTGATGGGATAAGTTCCCAGTCGTCATTAAAATTCCATTCACAAATATTCCAACGCGTCACAAATAATTCCAAATGACATACCGCGTGGCAAGAAAAAATTCCGAATACAAAACCTCTTCTTTTTTTTTTCCTCCAGTAGCCATTTTATAAAAAAACTTTGCCTGTTGGCGCGGAAATAAATATATTTATATAATATAATCATATATTCCAGTGCCCGCCCCGCATAAAAATATATTATGCATATATGAAGAACCAGCGCAGCGAAGTATTGGGGAGGGGGAAAAAAGTTCACCCCCATGTGAGAGAAAGTAAAATACATTTGTAGTAACCCCATAACACGGCCAGTATATACACGTGGCGTACCTCCATGTGACATATTTTAAAGTGCGCTGCGTGCGTTGTCCCCCCTTTTTGCCAACACAAATGAATAATATATAATGAATTCGTGAAACATGCATGACCGGGTTTGAGAAGTGGGACGAGGACGACAGGGGGGAGGTGGAGAGAGAGAGGGAGTGTAATTATATAAGTGTTCTTTTTTGTAACTTATGCTCATTCTTCACTGGTATTTAATTAACAAAGAAAATGAGTTTATTCTCTTTAACGCCAAAAAAAAAAAAAGAAAAAAGAAAGGGAAAGGGATAAATGACATGGAAATATTTTATATCCCCACGAATACTATACGCCCGCTGCTGTGCCTGTACACGCATTTTTGTATGCAGTCCGAGCTATACCGTTCGGCGTCGTACTGCTTTTTTTTTTTGCCTGAACATGTACAGGCATTTTTGTGAGTCCATCCGAATGTGCTTCCCACCCTCCTAAGGAAGAAGCAGAAACGCGTTCGTTCCAATGTAAGTACATGGATGTATGCTTAATGCAACATCAGTATCCTCAAAAGGGTCCTGTTGCACTGCTTCTGCAAGCTGATCTTACCAAAGATAAAAAAGAGGCATCCTAATTAAACTGCAGTGTGGTAGTATGCGCAGAAGAAAGGGATAAGTTAAGGGCAAGAGGGGGAGGGTAATTTCCCTTTGTTCATAGAGGCTGCCAAATGAAGCCAATCCCATCAAAGCCGTATGACACATGCATTTGCAAGCAATTTCACGGCCTGAATAAAAAAAAAAAAAAAGCGTTAATATGGAAAAGTTGTGAAGCCGTGTGATGTGACGTGCGATCCTCATGGCGCTTCACCTCCCGCGGTGCGCAACGATGTGAAGGGGTTGCTGCGAGTGGTTCAGTTTCCCCCGCATAGTACACATCCTTCCACCCAGCGTAGCGGTAGTAGCCAACTGGGCAGATTTTAAAAGGACTCCTACTTGCACTGCCGCGGAAAGTTGCGGCAAGTCCTCTTTTGGCCATGTGTCCCCTGGCATGAAATGGCCTCTACACATATCTTGTACTCTTCTGGGTGTGCCCTTGCGTGCGGGGAGGGATGCACGTTCAGATCTCCGCTTACCCAGATGGGTGCAGTGTACGGGGAAAGGTGCGTTCACGTGTGTGCATTTGATCTTTTTGCATTTGCACATTTGTTCTTTCTCCTTTACTAATCTGTGACGAGTGGACGATCTGCTCCACGAGGATAAGCCACAAAAAAAAAAAAAAAAAAAAAAAGAGGTTCTACTTTGTGTAACGGTAGGACCATTTGCCCTTCCAGAAAATGCGGTCTGTTCGGTTGCCTACCTTTAAGTTGACTAACTTGTTGGTCTGTTTCTCAGCTTTTTCCTTTTCCCATTTTTACCTGAACAAGTCATACACTGTTCAGGTGAAATTTAAAAAAAGTAATCAACCATTACGATGAAGTGTTTTCCTACATGGGGATATCCTTTTTTTCATGGAGGAGTGTCCTCGAAAATGTTTATTTAGGGGGTGGAGGTTTACTCGATGGAATGCACACCATGTTCGAAAAAAAAGAAAAAAAAAAAAGGACAACGCCAAATGGTTCATCGCTGAATGGCACACATTACACACGTGCCCCATAATACACACAAAAGCTCTACAAACTCTTTTTAACATTTATCCAGTTTAGGATGACACAACAAATACAAGCATACAAAAAGTGATTCCACGTAAGGATTAAACAAAAAAAAAAAAAAAAAAAGGGGTCGAACAGTGTTGTGTGGGGGTGTTAACGTGGTGCTCACGAGGAGGAAAATGTGTGTGCTACTCCTCCCTTGTAAATATTTTACCTGTTCGCTTTACCACCAACACATGCTCAGTTAACCAAATGCATGATCCCCTTCCATTCCTCGGGGAGCAAGTCCAACACGTACAGGTACTTGTCTCCTTTCTTCCTCTTTAACAGCAACACAATTTTGGTCATTTCGTTTTTTCCTAACATTTTTTTTTTGTCGTTAATGTACTTTGTGCATTTTTGTAAAATGGTGCTTTTGTTAAAGAGGGACAAAGTGTGGTTGTGCGCTTCGGCAGGGGTGTTACTACTTTGTTCTGATTTGTTTCTGTCTTTGCATGTGTCTTGTTCCGCTTCTCCCTGCTGTGCTCGCTTACCTAATGCTGCACCCTCACCATAAGGCAACAAATCGAGGCACACAACGGAATAAAAGTAACACAAAAAATCGCTTACCGACATGCTCTCCACTTGGTCAGTTAAATTGTGTGCTATGCTGATTAGGGTTCGCTTGTCATGGCGAATTGCGTGACACAGCCTGGACAAACCTTTTGCATTAAAATTATTCACGTTGTGTAAGATGATTGGGTTCAGCTGATTTATGTGTTTTTCTAACCTCTTATACTTGAATAAGCACCACACTAGGAGGGAAAGATACTTGTGATGAATGTTACTTATGTAATGGTAATTGCTCAGATCGTCTTCAATCATTTGGAGGTACTGGTCGTCGTATATGAAGAGCTTGGTTAAGTTATGAAGGTTAATTATTTTGTGGAGCGTGCTGAGGTCCTGGTACTTGCACTTTAGTTCGTTCATGATTAGGAAGGACACGATATTCTCCTTGAAGAGAAAGGCGTTTTGGTTACTCAGGGCGTGCACCTTCAGGGGGGGATCCTGGGCAGCTTCTTTTCCTTGTTCGGTACATACCTCGCCGAGGTTACCGCTTCCCTCGTCGCTGCGCCCTTCGCTTCCTTCTTCTCTTCCTTGCATGCTGCCCAACAAAGCCACGTCGTAGCTGGAGTGCCCACTCTTGAAGGAGTAGTTGGCCATGACGCTGAGCAGGTCGGTGAGCTCGATAGCGGAGAGAAGTCGCAGCTGCCCCTCCACATGATCAACCACGTTAGCCATGAAACCCACAAGGAAGTCCAAATGTGAAATTTTCCTCTGATCAGGAGGAATGCCTTTTCTAAATTTACGCTGCTTCAAATGATACCACAGACGTGATAAAATATGTTTCCCTCTCAGTTCCTTCTCCTCAAAAGTTAAGTCGATTAGTATCTTTGTGAACACTCTACACACACCAATGTAGTTATACAGGTTCATTTTTTCCTTTATCCTGTCCAGGTGGTTAATAATTAAGCGGTAAATATTAAAATTGTTCGTGCGGTTCAGGAGGTACAGAGGTTCCAACACCAGCAGCACGTCGTGCACACTGAAGCAGTCCAGTCGATACTCGAGATAATCGAGCAGAGTCTTTACCATTTCCTTTTTCTGGTCATAGTAGTACAGGTAGGAGTAGACGTGAAAGATGTTTACGATTTGGTTCGGGGTGTATGTCTTCAAATGGTGCATAATTTGTGACTCCACGTGGGGGAGGAACACTTGGTGAATGAACTCCTTCGAGATCTGTTTCTTCAGGATCACGTACTTTTGATCGACGCTGCCGGCGGGGGTCTGCGCAGCGGTTTGAGCGGCGACTTGGTTGGCCCCGTCGGTGTCAATTGGGGTGGCAGTTTGAGCGGCGATGTGAGCGGCGGTCTGGGCGGCGACTTGGTCGGCCGTCTGGGCACCAACTTCCGTGCCAACCTCTGAAGCGCACCCCAGCGGGTCGTACATCTCCCGTCTGGAGGAACCACTCACGTTGCCCTTCCCCTCCCCCCGCCTCGACTCTATAAACTGCTTGTACCGTTGAATTATCATTTCATTATTTTGGGCCATCACGCGGTCGTCCCCTTGTTCTTCTCCCCGGGGGGAAGCCTCCTTTATGGTCTTTGTGTGTATTCCCTGCAGGTCCATCAACCGGGGACAGGCCCTCCCCTCTCGACACAAGTCCGCCCCCGATGTTGCTGATCCCCCCGAACGAGCCAGTAAACGCAGCGACCCCGGGCACCTCAGCACAAAACGCTTCATTTTGCCAAGTCAATCATATGCCCAATTCGACGGTGCAGTTGCACACTCACGAAAAAAAAAAAAAAAAAAAAAAAAAAAAAAGGCAGTTCCTCTTCCGATGGGCTCAACCAAGCGCAGGCATACGCACGACCTACGCATCTAAAACGCCTTCTTTTTCACTTCCAAAAAAAGAATTCGCTGGGAGGAGATGATACAGTGGCTACTCTATACCCCAGGATATGGTCATCACACTCGTCGGAAGGTTAAACCCATATTGTGAGGAAAAATAAAATAAAAATAGCATAAAATAAAAAAAAATAAGAATAAATACACTTGCAAGTAGCGGCACACAGAACGGTTGCTTCCACCGGGGTATGGCTCGCGAAGCGACCGTGCTTACACGGCAGTAGTGGGCTGAGCGAAGCCGAGTGCGAGAAAAAAAAAAAAAAAAAAAACTCCAACCGTTAGCAAACCATGAACAGTAATAACAATCTAGAGAAACTACTGAACTGCCAACTTGGCAAATTACAATCACCAGCGCCTCACCAATTTTCAGAAAAAAAAAAAAAAAAAAAAAAAAAATAGCGAAAGTAAATCACATCACGTATGACGAAGTAAGCCCAAAGGTGTTAAATGTGAAAAGGCTGCCTCTCTCCTTCTCCCACTGCGCAAGAGGAAGCAGAGATAGTAAGTGAGCAAATGAACAAGTGAGCGATCGAGCGCGAACTATGTTCATAAGTACACACTCCGTGCCAATATACACGTTGTAATAGTTGCAAGTTATTTTTAAGATCTAACAAAAAGGGGGACCTGTTTGCACCCAGAGCTCTTTGTGTGTCACCGCTCCTCACTTTCGTTGTCCCACCAGAGAGGGAGTGCAACCTCCAAACGATACAGTTGAGGCGAGGAGACGTCATTAACACTGCTTTGCCTTGCCCAAACATCCCCATTAGTGACCAACGGAACGAGAAAAAAAAAAAAAAAAAAAAAGATTCTCCTGTGAACCCAAGCACACCACGTGAGGTATATATTAAGCTCACCAGAGAGCAACACCGGCACACATTACCCAAGAATCTTCCACAATGGTAAGTCCGTAGGATAGTGAAAGGGGGAGAAGAAACAGGAATGGCGTAAAATAATTTGACTCCCCTCCTCCATTGTCGCTGCTCATTATGAGCACTGCTTTACACCCCTTCCCTGCAGGGCTCCATTTTCAACTATAACGGGGGGTGCGTCCTTGGCATGAGCGGCGCGCAGTGCGTAGCCATCGCGTGTGACCTGAGGCTCGGCTCAAACAACTTTACGACCATCAGCACCAATTTCACAAAGGTGTTTAAAATTAACGAATATGTGTATGTGGGCCTCAGCGGACTCGCAACAGATATTCAAACATTGTATGAGTTGCTCAGGTACCGAGTGAACCTGTACGAAATAAGACAAGAGACCCTAATGGACATAGATTGCTTTGCAAATATGTTATCGAGCATTTTGTATTCTAATCGATTCTCTCCCTACTTCGTGAATCCTATTGTGGTTGGCTTTCGAGTTAAACATACCTATGATGATGAGGGGAAAAAAATATGTACGTATGAACCCTACCTCACTGCGTACGACTTGATTGGTGCCAAGTGCGAGACTAAAGATTTTGTTGTGAACGGAGTCACCAGCGAACAACTCTATGGAATGTGTGAATCGCTCTACATAAAGGATCAGGTACGTCCATTCTCCTTGTCTGCACAAGTGCTTCCAGTACTAAACATGTATGCACGAACCACCGCACACTCACACGGTCAATAACGCTAACAACATACAACTTTTTTTTTTTTTTTTTTTCCCCTACCTCCCCTTCAGGATAAAGACGGCCTCTTCGAAACCATCTCTCAATGTCTACTGAGCGCCTTGGACAGGGACTGCCTTTCCGGATGGGGAGCCGAAGTTTACGTTCTGTATGTTTTTACCCACAATGCAATACATTTTGAGGGGAGAGACAGAGCTGAAAACGGAGAGGAAAAAAAAAAAAAAAAAAAAAAACACCAAGCCCATCACCTTAAAGGAAAAAAAACACTGCACACTGTTTCTACCTACCACAGTGCCACATTTACGTCCACTTCATTTTGAACATATTTTCACTTTTTTTTTTTTTTTTTTTTTTAGAACGCCCGATACGATCATGAAGAAGAAACTGAAAGCAAGAATGGACTGAAGCGCCACTTTTTTTTTTTACGCCCCGCAAAAAGTGCGCCTTTTTTTGTAATTCCCCTGAAAGTCCATGCGAACATGACATTTTTGTACACCACGCGGGGAGTGACAAGGCGTGTGCGCGCATGTTTGCGCCTGCCCGTGCGAACACACCTTTGCGCGTGCCAGCAAGGACATAATTATGCCCCCCTTTAACTCCACAACTAAAACAAATTAAATTGTCGCCTCGCGGTTTCATCACCTCGTCGCTTCGTCCTGTGTACACCCATACCAATGTTGTTACGTTGGGGCAATCCCCGGCCTACATACGGGTAGTTCTTCACGTTAACGAGATGGGATGGGGAGGAGTCCCCTCAATCCGTTAACAGGTTAAACGTTCTTTTTATGTGCACACCGTGTTGAGCCGAGCCAAGTAGAGGACTCCATCCAAATGGCTGCACTTATTTACGCAACGGTTATCTCGTTTTTGCTGTTCGAACGCCCAATTTGTTCTCAGAGAAAATGGGTTGACACACCAAACTCTTTACACAGGGTTGTTAATTGAAAAGGTCACCCTCAGTGTTGTACAGTTATAATGGATTATTCCTCATCCCTTTTGCTTTTTCTCCTCACGAGCAGCTTTTTTACTTCCCATTTTGCCTGCACCGTTCAGGCGATATGAATTTTTTTTTTTTTTTTTTTTCGTTACTCACCGAACGGCCAACTACATTTTAATAGCTCTCTTACAGCAACTGCACATGGCACACTAAGCATACGCATACACAATGTGCTTGCGCAATGTAGGTCGTCCTCACAATGTGACTGAGGCCCCTTCGGGAGGTGTAGCGCCAAACGCATGATGTTTGAAATGTGATGCCGCTTTATGTTGTATTTTTTTTTTTTTTTTTTTTTTTCCCCTTGTTCAGGCGAAAAATAAGCCAGCTAACGCGAAAAAGCTATTAGAGCAGAATGGGAAGATTTTTCTGCCGATGAGAACCAGCAACTGGGTGTAACTGATTTGGGATTTTAACGAGACCGACAGGGAAAAGCTGCTTTTTCCAACTCGTTCCCCAGCCCGCCGCTGCTATGCGGGCCCCCTTTTACATCCTCCTCGCAGTCAGCTTGGCCTACTCCGTCAGTTTGAATGTAGCCAAAAGGAGTTCCTTCATAAGCAGCAGCATTGAAAATGGCCTCAAGTTCACCGCTCGCGCTGGGGGAAGAAGCAAAAGCGACAGGAGGAAAATAAGTGCTTCACAGGGAAACGTAATTTACAAGCAAATAAAAGAGAGAGGCATTCCCTTCAAGTTTTATAACATCGGGGATTCCTTCTATGGAAGGATACTCAGCATAAGTAAAAAAAATATAAAGCTGGACATTTTGTGTGACAGGAAGGCATACTTAAATACATCCGAGTATTTCCGTTCACCCATTTTACACAAATATGTTTTCGCGTTGCTAAAGGTACACAACATCATTCGAGTGAAAATTAAATACATTCAAAGTATTCATCAGAAGATTGCAGTGCAGATACAAAAGTACACCTACGAGGAAATTTTATCGTCCTTTAATAATGGGCGAAGTTTAATCAACGCGAAGATTTTGGATGTCCACGACGACCACGTGTTGCTTTACTTGGCACCTCAAATTCATGCAAAGTTGCTGCTGCGCGTGGGGGAGCGTGCGGACGACTACAGGGCAGGAAACGACGTCCTTGTGCGGATTGACCACTTCGATGAGCGGCGCGGGGAGTTGTATGTACGCGTTCCATAGGGGTGTACACACACACAGCCTATTTCGACAGGCCCACACGTAGAACTTGTGCGTGGCACATTTGAGGCCCCTTCAACTGCTCCCCCCACCGCCCGTCTTGCCGCCTTCTTTTTTTTTACTCACTCCCCGGCAAGGTTCTTAACCACTTCCGCGAGGTACTCCTCCGTTAGGCTCTCCACAGGGACGTCCCGGAGGTTCCCCTCGAGGAGTTCCACCTTCCTACGCGCCCAGTGATCGACCATGGAGATGATGCTGCAGTAGTCAGACGTGCCAGTCGATTCAGAATTAAAAGAAGAATTTGAATTACTAATGAAGTTAAGTATGGTTTCCATGATGGTCTTTTCATTTAAAATGGCTAGCTTGTCCTTCAGCTGGCAATAATGAAAAAGAATATCAAACACCTTGTTGTACTCATTTATATTTTCCATGTTAGTGATATCTTTTTGGTCCATGTTTTTAGGCTCCATCATTCCCTTGGTGTTGAGTGCCCCCAGGGTGTGCCCCGTACAGTTGGCGCCTTGTCCCTCCTTAGCCCCTGCACTTGTTCTTCCCTTTTTTCTGTAAAATGTGAGGAACTCAGATGGGTTTCCGACTCGGTTAGCGAAAGTGGAGCCGAACAGCTGTGTGTTTATAATGTTAATGTCTTCGTACTCGACTTTTAATTTTATTAGTGGTTTGTCGTAGACTCCTTTCTTTATTTTCAACAAATCGAATGTGTCGCTTGGGGTGGAGAATGCCACGTGGATGAAGGTGGTGGAGTAGAACTCCTCGTCCTGCAGATTTGTGAGGAAGTCAGTTACGTCTTGGTCGGAGATGACCGATTCGAAGTACTCGTCCAGGAGTTCCTTTTTTGTGAAGACTTCGCTCGGCAGGGCGGGTTGTTCGTGGAACAGATGGGAGCGAGGCTCGTCATAGTCCGTCCCCTTCGCGTCTGTCGCCTTACCGTGCGCCCCGCGTTGGACTTGCCGTAAAAAGGCGCGCCTGAACAAGTAGTAGCGCTTGACCTGCTCACGCAAACTCAGCTGAAAGCTCTGCAGAATGTTGTCGACCTGCTCATGTAAAAACTGCTTCAACACGGACTCATCATTAAAATTCAAATTGTAATTAGCTAATCTGATTTCCTTCAATTCGAATGGTCTCACACTTTCCAGTTGGATCTTCAAAAAGCGAAATCGCTCCTTCCTAATTTCAAGCAACCCGATGTACTTGTCCCCATACTCATTTGTGCATAGAGATGTGCGTACAGATGAACCCAATTGTAAAGAAAAAAAAGATTTGAATAAACTTTCCTCCAAGTAGGGTTTCGAATAATGCTCATGTCCCCATATAACCAAGTCTACAAAATTAGGGATAAAGGATTCTTTTACAAAATTTTTTATATCATTTCCATATGCACATCTCATGTGTCTGTTCTGATGAAGGACAAGGATGTTGATTCTATTTTCATAATCATTTGGGAGCATGAATTTTACTTGCTTCTGTTCGAATGCTCTGTGTAAACGCTCATCTTTGATCCATCCTATGGCATAAATGGCTATTTTTGTGTCTTCTTTATTGAGGAGCACTGGCTTTACCACGATTTTGTTCAGACTGCTTTTTCCTATGTATTGGATGAGGTTACCAACGTGCAGAATGTCTAGCGGACTAATGTAATCGCAGCTGTATGGGTAGTCGTGGTTTCCGTGTATGGTGAAGAGGGGGATGGCCGTTTCGACCTTCTCCTTCAGGGAGCACATGCGTACTGCGTCGCAGGGGGGTCCTTTCTCGCCGAGGGCGCGTCTATCGCTGTGCGCGCGTTCATCATCACTGTGCCCACTTCTATCACTGCGGGTGCTGTCCCCACTGTGACTGCGATTATAATAATGGTCGCGCTTATCACAATGGTCGCGCCCATCATCACTTCGCGTGCCGTCCTCACTCAGATCGAGCTTCTCACCCCCCCCGTACCACTTATAATCGGAGCTGTGCACCTCCTTCAGGAGCACTTTGCGAGCATGTGTTGTTTCCCCCTCCGGAGAAGCTTCTTCCGATTGAGCCCCCCCCTCGGCATCCTCATAACCACTGACGTGACAATACCTTCTAATAATCGCCATGGACTTGAAGAGTGTGTACTCTGAAACCTTATTCTTGTGAAACAGGTCACCACTATTAATAATCATATCCACATTTAACTTTTGTGCAACGAAAAGAATTTCTTCAAACGAGTTGAATGTATCCTTCCTTTGCACAGCATTGTTTTCCTTGTACCCTAAGTGGTTGTCCGTGCACAGTAGAATCTTTAACGTGTCTGGTTCGTTCTTCTTCAGACAATTTTTTATTTCTTCCATATTCAAATTTTTAAGCTTTGTACTTTCTTTTTTCTCCTCCTTTATGCTATTATACTTTGTTCCTTTGCGTTTACGCACTGGGGAGGAGCTGTCGGACGGTTGGTTTCTGTCCTCTGACTTTGCGTCTACTCCAGACTTCGTCTCTACCTCTTCCATGTTGATGGTTCCCCCGCTTTTTCGCATCCTCCACTGTGACGATGTGCTGTACATCGAGTCTTCCTTCTCCTGACCATTGCACCCATCATCCAAGGGGGGCTTCGTTTTTTCTTCTTTACTCTCCTTTTGGGAGGTCCCCCCCCACAGGCCGCTTCTGGCGTTACTTCCACTGGGTTTCTTCCCATCTGCGTCTTTTCTTGTGATACCCCTTCTTGAGTCTCTTTTCAACGAACGATTAATCGACTCATCGCTGTGGCTGCTCACTCGCATGTGAACGGGTTCATCACTGAGCGCGTCGCTTCGTTCATCCATTAGCTCACCACGCTTGTTTGAGGCACACCCCATTATGGGGCCATTCGTGCTGGTCTTCTGTCTCAAACAGGTCTTCTTTTTAGCCTCCACATTAGACTCGCTACTCTCCTGCAAGCACGCCCCCCCATCATGCCCCTCCCTCGCCGATGTGCTCCGTCTCTCTTCCTGCGTAAAATATTTTCTAATATCGTTTGAATTCCCTCGTGTCCCTTTTACATTGTGTATTTGCTTGGTTCTCCTTTTTTGCTGCGTCCCCCTGCGACTGGAGGGGGGGACAGGGTCCAGTTCCCCTTCCAGAGGAGAGGCCTCCTCGAAATGCAAGTCCTCCCGACGGTCCTCACCGGTCATATATTCACTCTTCTCACACGCTTGCCCTCCTTTGTCCTCCCCCTTCAGAATCAGCTCGCTCGTTCTGTGCAGACTACTGTACAGGCTCTTCAAGGATAGGACCTTCTTTCGGTTGGCTTCCGTTTTGGCTTGGCCACCACTTCTGCTTTTGCAGCTGGGAGGTGAGTCAGTGGGGTGCTCATCACTGTCGTGGTGGTGAGCGGCTCGGTGCACCTTCTTCCTCTGGGTGCCCCTCAACAGGGGGCGACGCCTTGAGGAGATATCCCTGTCGCCGCCCCCTTCCATGAGTCGTCCGTTCTCACCTGCCGTGAAGGTTGAACTTTAATGGAACTGCACACCGAGTGAAGGGGCTAGTAAGTCACGACAGCTACTCACTCGTGTGCGCCGCCAGTACCCAACGAAAGGCAGCATAGATTGGGGGGGAGGGATGACAATATGGTGAAAATCATTCCCCAGCTTCGCTAAGCCTTAAAAAAGAGGGGGGGAAAAGGACGCGACACGGAGGAGCACATCACTTATTCGTACATACATGTGCATATTTTTCAGGTGCAAACGCATTGAACTGAACAGCGACGAGTAGAAAAAGGCGCAGCTCATATACAGAGAACCCAGCAAGCTCAACCCCGAAACGGTGATCCACAAGTGGGTTCCTCATAAACGAAAGCACACACACCGCGACCCCTCATGGGAAGTGCAAATTCGAGGGAGGAGGACACACAAAGGAGTGTAGCGTCACCTCCGCATCTGCCCCAAATTGTGCGAAACGTTCTCAATTGACATTTCAACCACAGAGTAGAAACACAAACCCGATTGCATAGGGATTCTGTTTTTTTTTTTTTTTCCACACCATGTGGTTTATATATCCCTACTGAAGACTCTTCACCAAGGTGGTAAGTTTTTTTTTTTTTTTTTTTTTTAATGGAAAGCTTTTCCGGGTGACACGATGGTGAAGTTGACCCAAGTCCATGTTGTAGTTGCGTGTGAGCGCGTGGTGGGGAAAAAAAAAAAAAAAAACACACACAAAAAAATACACACATAGGAGGGTGTGCAGGTACACCGCTAACTAATAACACATTGCAAACGCCGCGCCCGAGGCCAAGTTAGTTGTGTTTTGCTCATTTGCGAAAAAATTTGGTCGGCGGGAAGAAGAAGTAAGTGGAGTAGTACACCTTGTACAGGTTGATCTCGTGGATGACGTCGAGAGAGACATATGTGAGCAGGAGCAACAGTATGAGCCACAAGTTCCTCCCGCCCTTTTGTATAAACGTGTTGGCGGAGGATTTACACATGATGAACAAGGCAAATGTTATTAAAAAAATAAAGAAAGAAAAGGCCACCCCTTCGTATACATATTGAGCACTGGTGGAGCGGTAGATGTACTTGTGCAGCACCGAGTCCAAATTCTTCGCTGTGTTGTAAAGCTCGGCTTTGTTAATGAGGCAGTGGAAGATGCCGCTCAAGCAGATAAGGAACAAGACGTATGAGCAGACAAAGGTGAGGGAGGGCCATCTGTGGAGCAGCTGCAGAAGGGCGTACAGAAGGAGGAACAACACCACCAGGGTGATGGTGATGACGGAATGTTGCATTTTCTCCCAGTACTCACCCTCCACAAGTGTGGCCCCCCCGTCGCCACCGCCACTCTGATCGCCACTTCCACCGCGGCTGTCAGTTGCACCCCTGTTGTGTGTGTGAATGAAGTCCAGGAAATACGACTCAAGCACTTGGTTACTCATTTCTGTTTTGTCTTTGTCCCTTAACCGCTTCACCTTTAAGTAATTCTCTAACATGTAATTTGGACGCACCTTGGAGTGGTAATCTAAGTGGAGAACGGTCTCCTTACCTATGTAGTAAAACTCGGGTACCTCTTCAATTGCGTGAATGAACTTGAGGGGGAGGATGTTAGGTTTGTGTACATTTATATAAAAGAAAAAGATTGGCCTTGAGGACGGGGTGATCCTTTCGTTTGCTCCATTTGCGCGGGTAACAGGGGTGAGATTCGCCGCGCTGCTCCCCTCCCCCTCGCTATAAAGAGAAAAATTGCCCAAAATGAACTTCTGTGCTACTCGGTTGAACAGTTCCAACAGGATGAGGCTCTTCCGATCAAACATGGACGTCCCATTGGTAGTCTCCACATCGATCACAAACAATACGCAGTCGTAGTCATGTGATTTATTTAATACGTACTCTACATGGTCGCTGGCGGTGAGCTCATGAATATATACAAAGGACATATATGGACTCGTACTTTTCTTTTGGCTTCGGTACTTTTCATTAATATCTAGCTTTATCTTTTTGTTTATGAGTTTCTTCAACTTGCCCAGCTTGGTCTCTTCGTCGAGGCAGGCGCGAGGCTCCACCACCAGCAGCCACGCGAGGAGGAGGAGCAGCAAAAAGCGCAGCCGTATAAGTGGCCATAACAAGATTTGCGAATACCTCACGGCCCCCAACAGGGGAGCAGGTTGCATGTGGCCCTTCATCACCCCGATCGACCGCGTGAACTGCTTATGCACACCAGGGGAAAAAAATCACATCGCATTGCTTTCTCCACACACACAAGATGCAACATCCCCCCGCGCCCGCTCCTCTCTCCAGTGGACATTGTATCACCCACGAAGTGTACACTGGCCCAAAGTTAAGCAAAAAACACCGCCTTGCTTTTTCGTACGCCCAGTTCTCCTTAGAGGCACTTTACCAAGGACAAAGTAAAACAGCTGTAATGTCAACTGGCTACATCAAACGGGTAAACGCAGAATTGTAACTACCCCTCCAGTGGGGACGATGCGCGATGAGGGTGTGCCTTTTTTTTTTTTTTTTTTTTTTTTCCCTTCCCCAATGGGGGTGCGGAGTGGTGGGCAAAAAGGGTCCCCTTAAAAAGGTACTCAAAAAGGTCACTCAGAACGCACCAAGCGGATTACTTTCCCCTTCCGTGGGGGCATTCCTTTTACCCACAATTCATTGCCTACTCCCCGTTTCCCTTAACCTTTCCAGATTATGCCCCTTAAGGGGTGCAAATGAAAAAAAAAAAAAAAGGGGAGGAGGCCGCCAAGGGGAGGAAGCATGTCCCTCCCCCCCCAACGTGCAAATCTTGTGACCATCCAACGGTGAAAAAAAGGAACTTGTCCAAATTTTTTTTTATTAAACAAGGTAAAGGCTGGTTACCTTCCACGGAAAAAAAAAAAAAAAAAAAAAAAAAAAAAAAAAATATGTGAGTACCAACATATTGCAGCTCTCGATCCGTCGACGAAGGCACATTTTACGGAGGCGCCTACTACCTCCACCGTGTAGCCCTTCACAATGGCGTATTTGCGTGTAGGGGGGAAAATTATGTCTGCCAGCTAGCCACGAATTGGGCTTCTCCTTTTGGGAAAAAAAAAAAAAAATGCAGACACATGTCCGTCCGTGCGCAAATGCCGGTGCGTGTGTATAAAATCACCTAACCCAGAGTTAATCACTTGGTAAAGGTAAATACATTCCCCGCTGAAATAATTTTATTGTATAAATCTTCGGATGTAAATCGGGATTCGTAATTCAACGAGAGGAGATTTTTGCACAGATTGGCAACACTTGGGTGTTTTTTTATTAACGAGTCAGGTAAAATTCTTTGCCGAGCATTACACAAAATTACTGTCCTCTCCATATTCGTTTCTGTCCTCGTGAACAAATCCACAATGATCAACCCGAGGGAAAACATATCTACTGCTTTGTTATATCTTTTTCCAACCAGTTGTTCCGGGGCAGAATACATTTTCGTTCCGATACCGAGTGTGTGATACGATGATGCATGTGTGCTGTTCGCAATATTACCAGCTGCCTCGTGCCATTTTTCCTCTTGGTGATTGTAACTTTTAAGTTTTAATTTTTTTTTTTTTTTATTCCTCTGTTGATTTGCGGCTGTGGTGTGGCTGCTTTGGGGAGGTGATCCGTCTTTGCACATTTCCACTTCATGCGACGCCAGCCTATGTGTCACCCCTACGGGTTGTCCTCTCCGGTCGCCTTGGAGAAGCATCGGGATGATTTTCTTCACTAGGTCAGTTAACGTAATGCCTTCATGGGCGTAGCCACCATCGTCGCTATCACCACCAACAGCAGCAGCACAACTAATGTTGAAGTTACTCTCCTTCCTGCCGTTCGTTATGTACATGGAATCCACTGCAGAGGAATGGCACTGGTGGTTATGTCTTCCCTCCAACGGAAAGTGCTTCTTAATGGGGAACACATCGCCATCATTTGCATTTACCCCTTTATCGTGGCAACTGTTGTTGACGTAACTACCATACTCGGTGCCCTTCTCTCCACCACCTGCCAGGTGACAGAACCACAAATTGGTCTTCTTCCCTTGGGCCGTGTTCGCTGCCTCCTCCAATTTAGTGCATGTAAAATGATCCTCTCCACTTCTCTGTGCTTGTCCAAGGGAGCCACTTTTCACGTGTAGTTCATCCATGTGATATTCGCTTTGCAGATTGTGCAGACTTATATCTGTCTCTTTAGTAAACGTATTCACGTGGCATGTATCCCTGTTCCCCTTCGAGTGCCTCATCTCATCTGTGCGCTCCTTCCGTATGCATTCCACCCAGGGGTGTTCAAGGCGAATGAACCACTTTTGCTGTCTGCTCACATCATTGTAGGAGGCCAAACCAAAGTCCCCAATCTTCACAACGTCATTGTCGCAGATAAAAATATTCGAAGGCTTCAGGTCCCTGTGAATAATATTATTTTTGTGCATGTAGTGTAAGCCTAGGATGATCATGTGTATTATTTCTTTGTTCCTCTTGTAGTTCACGTAGGTCCTTCCACTTATGTAATTCTCTAGGGTGTTATCGCAGTACTCCATGCGGATGTAAAGGTTGAGTCGGTACATTTCGTTCCTCTGTCCTTCTTTCTTCCTCCGTTTGTTCTTGTTCATTTTGAGTGTTGCAACGCCATGTCCGTGTGTCTTCTTCCGATGAGCGTCTCTCTCACGAGTGTCTCTCTCACGAGTGTCTCTCTCACGAGTCTCTGTCTCAATCGTCTGCTTCATATTCATAACGCTCTCTTTCATTCCTTCTTCCCCTATACCATGATCCCTAACGTCGTTGTGGCTACGTGGATAGGGAGTCACAACCCTTTCATCAGCTTCCAAACCACCACCTCCCTCCACCCCAGTGATGCACTTTAACTCTCTCTGAAGGGGACGCCATTCGGAAGAACCCTTCGCCACCTTTTTTGCAGTGCCAAATGGGAAATTCTCTTTCGAATATATTTTATTTTTTCTGTGTGACTTTTCTTCTGAAGGGGCATGGGCGCATGAGCTCCTCTTTACCATGTCTACTATTCTCCGCCTCTCCTTCTTACAGATATGTTTTTTTAAAAAGTGTTGCTTCTTCGTAGCGAGTTTACTTTTGAGCACCAGGGATGGGTTCTTTCGAGATAAAGATCTCGTTTCATTGTAGGTTCTGCATCTGTCATGACCATTACGCGTATAGTTGTGGATACAATGGCGTGGGTAGCAGATCTTGGGGTCGGGTCCAACAATGTTAGAATGACTCATCCTTCCCTTACCCATGGAGTTGAGAACCACGACGCTCTTTTCTTTGGAGTCCTCCTTTGTGCCCCTTTTCATACACTCACTTGTTATAAAAACATTTCTGCAGGGACTTACATGGATGACCACCTCCTTTTTGAGGTCATCCCTACGGTAAGTGTTCACACCGGAGGGAGGCAAAAGGGCTGGACAGGAGGTTACCCTCCTGCTCTTCATAAAACATCGCCCGGAGGAGTTGTCCAGTTGGTACAGCTTCCCTCCCCTGGGGTAAGCAGCCCATTCGTTTATCAAGCTTCTTAATAGGTTCCCTCTTCCGGGGCAGACTGACGGGTCTTCCACGGGGCGGGTCGCTCTTACACCACCTTGGTTGCGTTGACCGCGTTTACCCCTTGTGCCTCCTTTCCCGAGAGATGCCTCTTCTTTCCGCTCTGCCATGCGGTAAATGGTTGAGTACCCATCATAGTGAGCCTTCGCCCCTTCCGCGTCACGAAGCTCCGCTGCGACATCCATCTCAGCAGGTTCCTGCGTCCGGTCTGAAATACCCCCCTCGCTCTGCGCAACGTACGAACCCAATGTAAGCGTCTTCTGAAAAAGAATCCCCATAGGAAGCTTTTCCTCCTTCGTTGGAAGGACCCCTTCGCCGTAACATCGCGTCATGCCTTTGTGCAGTTCTTCATGCATTCGACCTTGCAACGGAGCCATATTTTTCCCCTTGCGTGTCCCTCTCCTCATCAAAAATGTGTCTACCTTGTCGTTCCCCTTTGTTCTTCCCTTTTTATATGAACCGGCTTCCCATTCTCCTCCCTCTTCCCTCTGCACATACCCTAAACCACACATCACTCTGTAGCTGGTCTTTATCTGGCATATCTTTTTAATTATATTTTTTTTTTTCAAATTTTTGAGCACGTTCCTTTTGTTACGGAAAAGCAAGTGTGTTCTGTCCTGCAGGGTGATGTGTGGCTTCCTGATGACCTCCTTACACTTTCCTTCATTTCTCCATCCTGCACGCATCATCCTGTTCCGTCTTGTACTGTCCCTTTTTGCACAACAGTTGGTCTCCTCAATCAAGTCACAATAATCATTACCCCTCCTTCTCTCCACACATGAAATGCATGTCTTTCGAAAAATATCACTTTGTATCATTTCTCCATTGTATACATTTTCGCCTGAACTGTTCAGGTAATTCTTTACCACGTCCTCATCAATACAAGTGAGGCAATTATCCATTCTGTGCAGGATCTGCCCATTTGCATTTTTCTCATCGGAACTGACTTGCCTGCCCCATCTGTCTCCACCATATGGCCTCACTCTATATCTCATCGTCAGTGCAAGCAGCCTTTGCAAATGAAGGAAGAAAAGAAGCTGTGTACTCATGGGTGCTAACTCCTGAGATGGAAATAAAATTATGTTTCCTTCCGAGTTGAAACATTTACTAGTAAGTTCAAAGTATGGACTCTCGGGAGAAAAGTGCATGTTATGCAACTTACAGGGCGTTTTACCCTCTGCATGTTTGAAGATGCAACTGGTTGGTAAGTCCCCCCAGTGGTGACAAAAATGTGGCCTACTCGATAAGTTATTCTCACCCACATAAGTGTTACGTTTAATCATATGGGGGGTGTTGTCTTCTTGAACAAAACTTCCGTTGAATCCCTTCCATTTGAAAGACTCTTCCAGAGGGGAGCAAGATGAAAGGGGCACCCTCTCCATACTAGTGCACACCTGCCCGTGGGTGACAAGTGAGAAGAATCTTTTGTTATGCCTCTCATTGTGTAAAATAGCAGATGGGGATAGAGGAGCGATCATGTCTCCTCTTCCGCTTCTTTCACTTCTTCTCCCCCCAATGTAAACCAGGCTTTTGTTTTTTTTTCGCGTCCATCCTTTTATTTCCTTCCTCCGTGAGTGTACTTTACCCATTCTTCGCCTCGGCTGGGTGAAGCGGTTGGTTTGGCGTGTCCCTAACCTTCTCGCCACTCTTCCCCCCTTGACGTTCTCTCCTATCCCTGTCCCCACCTCCTCCTCATCCCCATTGCTGCTGCTCTGAAAGACGATTTTGAACTCTCCACTGTCAGATGAATACTCGATGCTGTCTAAGAAGTTTCTGAAGTTCTCTTCTCTTGTTTTTTCATTTTTCCTTTTCTTTAAATTCGCTTCGCTGCGCTTTTGGAATTCTCTCTTCTTCCTTTGCTCGATGTGGACGGAGGGTCTGTGCATCCAGTCACCTCTGCCGCCTCTGTCTATGCCCCCCCCGCAGGTGCAATGCCATCTCCGCGCATTGATCTGTGTTAGGAGACACTTGACGAAGAGGACTTGTTTTCTCATTTTCTGCTGATGGCCCTGCCGCGCTCGGTGCGCCAAGGCACATTGCCCCCTTTGCGCGATGTGAGCAGTGTCTGCCTTCTTTTTGCGCGCGGTCCTTTGCCTCCTTTTGCGTGGGACCCTTCCCGCGTGCGTTGTCCTTTCCTTGACCCTGCTCCTCCCGCGATGCGCTCCATATGCGCTAAACCAGGAGAGCGAAAAACGCTTCATTTGTGTCAACTGGGACGGCTCGAAGGTACGATTAGTACTCTTCACAATGATCAGGACGACATAGCTATTGCCATGCTTAAGGGTGACCTTTCCAACGGTGAGTTGCATCAGGCGAGAAAGGGGCATGGCCATTATGCTGCTCACAAAGTGTGTCTCTTCCATCCTTTTTTGTTTTTGCCTCAAGAGAAATTTCTTATCCCACTTGTTATTTTTGAAGGGTCCATTTATCTTTATTACTCTGCGGTTGGTGGGGCTGTCTCCTTGTAGAGTGTGAACACGCTTGTGCACGCTGCTGTTGGTGCGCTTCCCGTGAGTGATTCTACTAGCGGTATGGACATTCGTACTTTTACCCTTCGTTGCCTTTCCACAGGTGTGCTTTTCTCCCCCTCTAACCAATCGGACATGCTGTTTAAACACCAAGGGGTGGTGTTCGAGGAACAAAATGGCCATGCTACTCGACGTGTTCAAGCTCTCCACAAGTGCATTGTAGCGGTACACATGCAATAAATTGGTAGCCTTGAAGGAGATATTGTTGAAGTGGGTACTTCCCTCTGCTTCTTTATTCCTTTTGTTCATCTCCCCGCTGCCGCGGCTGTCGCTACTGCTCCCCCCCTGTCTGACGCAACCACACATACCGAGCTGCGCCCCCTCCTGCAGAAACTGCCTAAAGGAGACCATCGAGTTGTACCTAAACATGGCGGTGTTGACAAATGTAATGCGGAAGGATATGTCCATCCTGGTGTGTCTTACCACATCCACATTGATCACTCTCAACAGGGAAGAAGAAACATGTACCTTGTAAATGCTCATGCATTTTACTCTTGTCACGTAATATAACAGGTAAATAAAATAATTCGTAAAGTTGTGGAGGAAGCATCCTTCTATGAGTTCCTCTTCTTTTTCATTGCCGTTTGTAAAAAGACTTTTTTCATCACAGGACATTTTCCTCATTAGACTTGTACACATGAGAAAATTTACTACATTGGTGATGAAAATTTTGTGATTTTCCTTTTCGAGTTTGTTTTTGCATGCGTTTTGTTCATGATGGTTGGCTACATAATCACCAACGTTGTTTTTTCCTTCCTCTTCTGCCCATCTTCCTCCCTTGGCGCTGGCTTTATGGGGGATGTACATATTTGTTATATACCCCACGGGAGTTTTTCTCTGCCCCCTGTTTGTGCGTGGTGATTTCGCGAAATGAGGGGAATGTGGTGGTGGGCGCATTTGCCCCCCCTGAAGAGACCCCCCATTTACGATCCTCAACATTTCAGCATAGTTACACACGTGGATGGTCAGATTGAAAAAATTCTTTACCTCCTGCACAAGCGCCCTGTTGCCGTTCCTGTTGTAGAACCTCCTGCAGAGGTACACGAGGCCCTTTTTATTAGTTAAGAAGTTTTCATCCCTCATGAAGTAGTACAGGTTGTTCTTGAATAAACTTCGGAAGTGGCTATATGCATGGTGGTTGATTCTGTTCAGGTACTTGTTGTCAACCAGAGTGAGCAGCGTCACGAGTTCAGCTTGGACCCTCTTCACTTGCAAAAGCAGCAGCGTGTATAACTTAGCGTTGAAAATTTTATAACACTTGATGCAGGAAAGGACGAACGCTATGCTTCCCCAGCGCTGCGCGCTACTGTCGTCGTCTTGCTCATCCCTCCGACCATCACCGTAACCCATGGCACTTCCCCACCTGCCGCGCCGTAAGAAGTACTTCTTGAAGGCTCGGTTGAAGGTGTAGAAGCCTCGAAAGAACTTCAGAGTACAGGTCATAAGCAGGTCGACGTAAATTCCGAAGCGACACATCTTCAAGCGCAAGGCGTTCACTACGTTAATGTACTTGTAGTAGTCGCACATGCGTGCGAAGTACCAATTGTCTCTGACCTCGAGGAGACAGCTGAAAAGGTAGTAGAAGAATTCTTTCTTCCGCATAAAATAATTGTTCTTTGTACTCCCTCCATGGTAGTAACAACTATGTCGTGTACTCCTTGCAAAAGGAATGGACTCGCTTCCTGTCCACTTCCTAACACTATGTGAAATGCACAAGTCGAGCAAGTGAGAGTTCCCATATACATTGTCCTCCATCCTGATGCCAAGTAGGTAAGTTGTAATGGATATTCTTTTGTAAATCTTTTGTATTACATCCTTCATTGTTCTTCTGTTAAATCCTTTCCTCCTCATTTGCTTGTTACAAAAAATGAATACCTTTAACCATCTGCAGTAGGTGAACGAGTAGCATATATGCACCTTTTTTTTTTCTTCTTTTTCTTTCCTCATGGACCCCTTCAACTTAGCGGAGTGGTTATGTTTAGACTGACTTGTTCTCCTCTCGGTGAAGTCTTCTTCCCTTTGCAACAACAGATGGTTCTTCCTTGTGTCACTCTTCTGTAAAACGATTTGTTCCTTCACTCCTGGTCCGCTCATAATTATGAATACGAAGGCATAGTAGTTGAGGTAGTTGCTTTCGCCGCTACTCCGGGGAAGGTCCTGCTGGGAGGACAATTCCCTAAGGGTCCTTTCTTCAACCCTTAGCTCCTCTCTGAAGTGAAATTTCTGTGCGCAGTTTATATCCCCTTCCAACCAGCTGCTGTGTCCCCCTTTGGCACTGCTCCTTTCCCTACGTCCACATAGAGTTGCACAAAAGTTATGCCTCTTGTGTTGAAATTTTTTAATAAAATGATTATCTGTCCTTCTTTCCATTCTCTCTGTCGTGTGAGGTGTCTTCCCTTCTTCTCCCTCCTGCCCCTTTACATGTAGCTCGTTGTCTTTACTGTCATCCATCACCTTCACGCCGCTTCCCCTGCGTGGCGAAACATCCTCCCATGATGGACACTCCTGTGAATAGGCCCTCATAGAAAGACAGCCCCTGGGTGGTAAATTCAATTTTGAGTTTTTTCTTCCCTCAAGGGGATTAGCACCCACACGTTCCTCCCTCTCCTCCCATGGATGGTTCACCTCATGAACAGTCTCCCCTGCTTCGTGGTGCCGACGATGCGCATGCCTGTCCCCACAACACGGAGCAGAACGTAGAATCATACTCCTGTTCCTTCCAGCAAGCAGTCGGTTGTTAATATTCATGAGGCACTCAGGTGTCATATCGTTCTTCTCCTCACCCATCGCATTCTGTATGCATCTTGTTTTTTTTTTCCTTCGCGGTGAGTTGCTAATTCCCTTCATGAGGGTTAACACTGTATCCCCCCGTTTGCATGCATGTCCCGTGCAAAATATTATATTAATGAATTGCCTCTTTGTCACCACGGTCTCCCCTTTGTGATAATGGAACAGACTATTGAAGTAGTAGTCGTTGTAGCACAGGTCTATTCTGTGACTTGGCCACTTCCTCTTCTTTGTGGTGTTGTCATTAATTATATTTTTTAGTTCGTGAACGAAGTAGGTGTCGCTGTGTCGGAACTGTATGAACTTGTCCTGATGAACGCGCTTCGAACAGTTGGGGATGCTGCCGCTGCGGTGATTCCCACTGAGGTGGTGGTGGTAACCAATGCGCGCCCCGGGTGTCCTTCCTTTGCTCGTAGAAGCACTCCCACCAATGTCTCTAATTTGTTCTCTCTGATGTTGCGCGGACGAGGGGGTGTCCACGTGGGGGGAGCTCGATCTGTACTTGTTCCCGTGCGCATATTTTGAGGCTTGTCCTTTCTTGCAAATCCTGGGATGACATAAGGCAAGCGCATTGGACAGACTGGCCAACCGCAAAGCACCCATATGACGCATGTGGAGCACGTCTCCATTATTCACTTCCCTTTTATGTGAATAATTTTTACAGCCCAAGAAAAGATTATCACGGAAGGGGGAACCATGTACTACATTTCCCTCATGGTCAGAATTTCCGTTGTGCAAATAGGTCGTTGTGCAAGGCTGTAGGATACTTCTCGTATTGCTAAGGAGGTGCCTGTCCTTGTCCCCTTCCTTGTTGTTCCCCTTGAAAGCATACAATGCGTCGTAATACATATTGAAGGAATCTCTCGTCATGTGTGCACTTTTGCTTTTTTTTTTTTTTTTTTTTTTTGCTGTCTGTTCAGGCAAAATTGGACTTGTTCTTCCGTCCATTTTGAACACAAAATTTTTTTTTTTCTTTTTTTTAAACAAATTCATATGGGGGATGGTACTTCCCTTCACTTTGTCGCTGTTGCTATAGTTGCTGTGTTGGTCCCTTTCTTTGCTACTCTTCGGCGGGGCACACGGAGTGCTAAGAAGTGGTGGATGCACCCCATTTGTGTCGCGCGGGTGTGCAGCTGTCTTGGCTTCTCCCTGAGGGGTGGCAACTTTTCTACCAGAGCGCGTTTCCCACACGTGGCACCCCGCTGCCATTCCTCCATCATGTGGGCCCCTCCCACGACCGGACAACGACGTGGCTACCCCACCCCTGCTTCTCGCAGACCCCGACAAACGCTCCTTCACCTCCAACCAACACTCACGTATGCCAACAATGTTCGGATGGTCCTTCAGTTTGTTAAGGCATTCTACTTCCCTCAAATTTAATTTAATTTTTTTTTCATAATTGAACGGGTTAGCAGAAAATTTCACATTCTTAAGAGCGTAAAATTTGTCCCCTTCCTCTTCTTCTGGCTGCCTCTCCCCCAGCGACTGTCCATTTGCCCTCTTCCTAATTTTGTAAACACAGGAGAAGCCCCCTACTGCGATGAGATAAAGGAAGATGAATTTATCCTTTAGCTTTTTGTTAATGTCGTTTAATTCTTCTTTTCTTATTTCCTTCCGGGAGTCCATTGCGCTACTCGCATGTATAAATGGTTTGAGCAGATGGAACAAAAATGATGCAGCTGGACCGATCACATCCGTCGTGACAATCGCGTCTTCTGTGCAACCTACTCGATCGCTCACTTGGCACACATAAGAGGAATGAGGGACGCTCTGAAGAGAGAAGCACCCACCATGCAAGGGGACACCTCGTACGGATGCAAAAATGGAGGCAAAAAAAAAAAAAAAGAATTAATTCATTGCAAATAACCCCTTAAAAATATACCGGTTATAACAACGGAGTGATAATTTGTAACTCTTCCACCGCCAGACGATGACACGGAAGGGGTTTGTGTGTAGAAGCAAATTTTTTATTGTACACATAAAAAGAGCTCACGGTTTAGGGAGAGAAAAAAAAATTAGTCCACTGGTTATTGCAGAAGAAATGTCTACATGCTGGGCATGAGCAACGGAATATTTTCAAGCACAACATAATGGAGAGCGGTAAATTTTGCGGAGGTCAACTCCAGGGCGGTGAGAAAAAGGAAGAATGGGTTAGAAAAAAAATAATTAATTAAAGAAATGTGTTTTTTTTTTTTGCTGATCTGCTGCACGGAGGGCATAATTCAGGGGAAGACACACTTGTTCATTGCGCACGTAGGTCTCTGCCGTGGTGCTACTTGTCCCTGTTCGACTTATTCTTTTTCCACCATCAGTGCCACCCTAGCCACAGTTGTGCACATCACAAAAGGGCAATCATTTGGCCTTCTCCTTACGATGGGGGGGAAGAAAAAAAAAAAAAAAAAAAAAAAAAGGAGGTCTTCCACATGCACATGTACAACAGGGGAAATGCAAAATTAACATTCGACGTTACACATGTGGGTCACCCCGCTTTGGTTAATGTGTCTTCCCTCGATGGTGATCTAGGCTCCGCTGTGATGAACCACCAGACGGGTTAGTACATACACACAAATGCACAATGAACAGTTTCTTCGGCTCTGTGCAAGTGTAGGTGGAACGGGCAACTGCGACGCAGCAGAATTGAGAAATGCGAGAAGCTTGAACAGAGTGGAGGCAGAAGAAGGGACACTTAAAAGTGAGAACAATTAAAAAAAGGAGGCCATTAACTTTGTTCTCCTTGCTAATCATGGTGACCTCTCACCGCAGAGGTGCATGTCGTCAGACAAACGCAGATCGTCACATGCCATTTTTGCAGCCCATCGTTGCTTCACACAAGTGGGCAAAGTAGGGAAATGGAAAAACAGGAAATCTTGTGTATGCATTTTTATATGTATAAATTTTTTTTTTTTTTTTTTTTTTTTTGTGTGTACCTCCTGCGTCCTCTGTTGCTGTTGCAAAGGCAATTTTTGTTGCCACTAAGACGGTCTGCTTGCTCTACATCCGCGATTTTTTTACTTGCGCATTTGTAACCTCTGTGCGAATTTGTACCTCTTTGTACATTTGTGCGCTTCCGCGTTGTCGCATGCCGCATGTCCGGCCGGCATACTCGCATGCAAAAAGGAAAAAGAAGTATATGTCCACAACTACAACGCTGGATGGGGGGGAAAAGCAAAAGTGGGCCATTAATCCCATGTGCACAATTGAGTAATCGCCAAGCGGCGCCGCGGCTGCCACACGGATGCGACGCGACTGCAACGCAAATGTGTGTTCTTCCAATGCGCATGTGCATGCAACAAATGGGTCAGGTCAAAGGGATGAAACAAATGTTGTCTCAGGTTTTAGGAGGCGTCGTGGGGGGGGGGGGGGGGAGAGGCACATACGGCAACCGCCAAGTGACAACTGCATTTAAAAAAAAAAATGGCAGAGGGATGAGCAAAAGGAACAAAGAAAATGTTTGCCCCTCTTCTTATATGCCACACGGCTGAAAAAACCTTCTTTTTTTTTTTTTTTTTCATCATTCCTTGTGTGAAAGTCCTTCAAGGGGGATGCTTACCCAAAGAGTGGCCCCCTTGTGGAGATGTCCTCAGGGGGACATGACCGGACGAGGTGATCATCGCATGACTGGCCACTCGAGATGGGCGACGGGGCAAGTCTCTGCATAGGGCAGACGTGAGTGACATTTGTGGCCTCACCCCACCACGCCTTCAAACAGGCAGAAAAATATATAAATAAATATATGAAGCTGAAGAAAATACAGTGCCACAAAATAACGCACGGACACACAGGGTAGTGGTCACTACGCGTCGCACCCACGGCAGGTGTTACACCTGATCGATGCGTTACAAAGGAGGAAGTTTTCTTCTCCTTGTCTCTGTTCATTTTATTCTTACATTTTGGGGGAAGGACCCAAGGGAGAAGAGTAAATCAAACCACACGAGGGGGTAGGGGGTGGCCTCGTAAAAGTGATCACTTACACATGTGTAAAAGTGGGACGGAGAAAAGTTCATCACTGTCATTCAGAGTCAATTTGATCGGGGAGCCTTACAATGGAAACGTTACGGGGTGGGGGGGAGAGCGTAGCAGAATGTGCAGAGCTTATAGCTCTTTACTTGGCCCAAACGGAAAACACTAAACCTCTTTTGCGTTGCGGGGAGCTCATCAACTGTGCACCACGCATCGCTGCTTCCCCTCTTCACGTCGCTGTTGCGTGATGGCGAAATGTGAGCTGCGTTTGCACGAAGGAATCCCCCCCTCATGGCAACACCAGCTCTTCAAAACAGTGTAGAAGCAGTGGCGAGGCGATCATACCCTTCGGAACACCTGCCAGTTTAACCATTTAAGAGCGCCCATGTACCGGTGTAGGGAAAACAAAGAAGTTAACAAACAAGAAAAAAAAAATTTTTTTTTTTTTTTTTTTCCAATTAAATGTGCACAGTTGACATGGGTGATCTCATATACATCTCTGCAGAACAAGATGGTCGTTCATATTATTTTTTTTCCCTTGTCCACATGCATGCGAAATAAAATGTTGCATTTTATTTTGTACCTTTCTCTTTTTTTTTTTTTATAAAGGGGTCCACTTTGTGCAACGCACAACGATATTGCTTTTGCATGTACATGTATAATATATGTTGCATACACTTTCTCTGCATGCGCATGTGAGTTTCTCTGTTTTTTTTTTTGTTTTTTTTCTTTTTTCCATCCCTTTATAGCAATATCACGTGGTAATAAATAAACTACGCTGAGTATTTGTAGGAAGGTTATATACACGTACTTTATAATATACGCATGAGAAAATACGCGCAGTGGGGGATGCTTCCCCCCCAGGGGTGGAAGCCATCCGTAGGAGAGGTAACAAAAAAAAAAAAAAAATTGTAAGCCACATATATATATATAAAGCACGTTAAAAAAAATTACACCGTTGTTTTTATGGGGTTGGGTTTACCCCCTTCCTTGTGGGTTTTTTAAACGACATCTTGGGGGGGAAAAAAAAAGGCAAATTAAACCACGTGGGGTTCTGTTCCGCGAGGAATTCATTTCCAAGCTGTTGTTTTTTCTCGTAGTGGACTTGGGGGGGACACGTTATTCCCCCACGTGGAGAGTCCCCTCTTGGGTCCAGATACGCCCCCCCCCATTGTTTCCATCTCCATGTCCCTGTCCCCCTTTTCGCCCCGTTGCATTTTTATACACTCGGGGCCACGGATTCCCAGTTGCAAAGAGGGCATGTACAATTTTGGTACACGTTTTTTCATACACGCCCACGCGGATATAAAAAAATATACTCGTATGTTATAAAAGTAACATGTAAAAAGTAATATGTAACGTTATGCAACACTATTTTTGAATCCCCCCCTACCCCAAGTACATGTGCGAAATGCACTTTCTAATCACTTTCTGCTCTCCAGGAAAAAAACCCGCCCCTTTCGTAAAATTCTTTACCCTTTATAAGTTGTGGAATCAGTGCTTTAACCCGTCCTCTTTCCCATCTGCAGTTTTTTTTTTTTTTTTTTTTTTTTTTTTTTTTTGAAAAAAAATATAATATATATATATTGTAAATTTACGTAGTCGTAAAACGGATAGAAAAAATAGAAAAAAACAAAAAAAAAAATTTTTCCCCATTTGGTGATTCTTTCTTTTTTCTTCATGTTTTTTCCTTTTCTTCTCATTCTTTTTTTTTTTTTTTTTTTTTTTTTTCTTTACCATTTTGCGCCTTGCAAATAATTAACCTATATGTGATGACGAGAGTACGCGCAAAGTGAATATTGTACATGTATGTATGTATATATATATATATATATGTTACGAAGCGCGATTACGCCGCTTTACAGTTTTTCCGCTTCACAATTAACGACGCTTCGCAGTGACGACGCCTTGCCGTTCTGTGTTGAAGGGTTTTTTTTTTTTTTTTTCTCCCCGCGCAGCGATCAATTTAATTGCCCATCGCCCGAGAGTTGTTTTTTTCTCCCCCCGGCGCCAGAGCGGGAAGCATCGTTTTCATTACACGGAAAGCGCGGCGCATTTGCATTGAGCACAAAAAAGTGTATATATTTCAATGTAAATACATTTTTATATATGCCCATTTTTTGTGCACATTTTTTTTTTTTTTCGCCCATTTTGTATTTTGTATATTTTTTTACATGCACGAGCGAGCGTCTCTTTTTGTTCTTTCATGTCGTGGACTCTCTCTCGTCCTTTCCCGTCCTGGACGCCGCTGCACGTGATGGAGAGGCAGAACACTTCACTATTCCGTGGGCGTTAGAAAGTGTGAGGGGAGGGGAGCAACTTAGTTTTTGTTTTCATTTGTAATATAAAATTTTTTTTTTTTTTTTTTTGCCCGTCCCCACATATCTTCTGCCGAACCGACGACACATTGCACCCGTTGTGAGTTTAATCCCCTCCTCAATTTGTGCATCCCACACTTGTCCTCATATGTTCTCGCGCGTAAAATGCTTTTGCGTGAAGAACTTTTCTGCTTTAATGTCCATTTCTCCTCGAGGTAGGGGCGGCAAGTGGCATGTCCATCGGCATTGCACAAGAGCGTATATTTTATGTGTATGCACAAAGGTACGTGTCCGTGTATGCCACTTAGAGCCCCTGCACTGACCCCCTACACACGTGCCTCCCTTTTGTCTTCTCTGTTTTGCAAATCTACTAACCATAAGACAGGTGCATATAATCTGTTGCTACGGGAGCAGCTCTGCGTTTGTCTCATTTGTCCTCTTTTGGCGGTTATGAGCGGCACCCCGTTGAGGGATCCGTTTCATTTGTTAATGTTAAGCTTTTTATCTGTGTGACATTCTCTTGTGTGAACTCCTCTCTCCTCTCCCCTTCCCCGCACACATGTATGCTAACCTTCCATCTGATGTGTTCCTCTGCAACCATTTGTAATCCACGCGAGTGGTAACAGCAGCTCACCGCCACCTCCTCTCCTTCATCATCATCGTTACACATTTGTCTCCCTTGTGTTGTACGTGTGTTCCTGTCCTCCCACCTGTTATACACACCTGCGTAGCGACGCTTGTACGGCCGTATGCACGCCTGCACCAACGTACAGGACGAGCAAGCACGCGTGTGCAGCGCGTAGGGGGTACGAGGGGACTCATCGGCCAAGTGACCTGAGTTTGCCATTCGCCCTGTTCGCGCGTCTCCCCCCGGGAGGAAAGCATGTCTACCTGTAAACCTACACAGATATATTTATATATATACACACCGACTTATGAGCACGGAGCCGTTCATGTGATTTCATCTCACGGACGTTCATTGCAACGCGGCACACCTATTGTCTTCCCCTCGTGGTGGTGTTACGTCACCGTGCTTACATCACGTGGCTGTCCATAGCTGACCGTAGCTGCCCCCGCGACTAGCTCCGCGCGTGTACTTTTACGGGGCTGCTAACTCCCCCCCACCGCCAACATGGTGATCGCAAGGACCATGAAATCACTCAAGGACCTGAAACAGAAGTCATTGGACTCCTTTTCAAATTTGCTATACGATTACGCAGGGTTCGTGTACGAGCGGCCATGCAAAATTATCGTAGCGAGTCTCCTAGGATGTTTACTCCTGAGCTTGGGCTTCTGTTACAGGGAGCATGAAAAGGACATTTACAAACTGTACTCCATATCCAATTCATATGCGTGTGAAACAAATGAAACGATAAATGATTTTTTTCACAAGAGCCGCAAGGCCTTTATCATGGTGGAGTCAAATTGCAATTTATTAAAGCCTCACATCTTAAAAGAGTTAAAGGAGTTTGAGGATGGAACAAAACATATTCAAGTCGACCTAACAGAAATTAATGAATGTACAAAAGATTCTGAACCCCCAGCTCTACAGACGGAAGCGTCGAAGGAGGTATATGATATCCTTTTGAAGAATCAGGATGTTAATGCAAATTTGGACTGGAAACCCAGCTTCAAAAGATTCAATTTTAATTTTGCTCTGAACAAATTGCTGGGGTTGAAAAATAAACTCACCGAGTATAACAGCGATGATACGAAAAAAGGACAAGGGAAGAAGAAAAAGGGACAGGATGGAACAGGAAGTGATCCCGGGGAGGATGAGGAGGAGGAGGAGGGAGGAGATGATGACGAGGAGGGGGAAGAGGAAGACGATGAGGAAGATGAAAAAAAAGGAGACAGCGACATGAATAAAAGTAATCCCAATGGAGGAGGCGATAATGGTAGTAGCGATGGAGGTGTAGTGAAGAATGGGGAAGGGACAGAAGGAAGGGGATTTCAACACGAAGTGATTGACATGGTGAGTAAAAATATAAAATGGGTCCAGGAAAAAATTACAAACATGTTAAAAGGAAAAACAGATGCTAAAAAATTACAACAGAAACAAACACCAAAGGTTAAACTGTCCGATTTTAAAGAAGATACTTTTTTCCCGCCATATTATATCCCTCCTATGTTGTTGAAGGAGGACAGGTGTTTACTTCAAAATGTATTTAAGAACAAAAATTTAAACGTTAATTTAAGAGAAGCCAGTGATGCTTTGAAGAAACAAATTACGTTCTCCCTCGAAGACATATGTGAGAAAAAATATAATGATTGTAATTTGAGTTCCATTTTTTTATATTATGAAAAAGGAAATGCCAAATATGAAAACCCAATTAAAGTAGATAATCTGGACTTTTACGTTAACAGGAAGACCTTCAAAGAAATGGTGTTGAAAGGTATCCTGGGTAATATGCAATACAAGGAAAGTCCCTTCAGCTACACGATCACCTCAGCCAATGCTATTATGACCATGATTCCCCTGTTGAACTCTCACACATATGAACCATATGTATTGGCATACGAGAAGAAGCTCATTGACTACGTTCGCTCTTACAACATGGATTATGTTATAGAAGATGAGGAAACAAATGATGGGAATGAACCTTTTATAAAATTTCATGTTTTTACAGAAAGAAGTTTAGAGGATGAAGTAGATCGAATTTCAAAAATTGATAATCTGACCAGACTACTCTTCATCATTGGTGTATTTCTTATCTTCATGTATGCCCTCTTCAATAATGTTACTTCCGTGTTGTATAGAAGTAAGCCTCTGTGTGCTATTATGGGTATCTTATGTGGTTTCTTAGGTTACCTTGCTGGTTCAGGCTTTTTATTCTTCCTCGGGGTGAAATCTGTCCCTCCTGCAGAAACAGTACCTTTCCTTGTCATTGGAGTTGGTGTGGATGACGTGTTTGTAATTCTTAATTCTTACTCACTCCTTTTCATGATTAAGGATAATAAGAAAAGGATTCAGCTTTGTTTAAAGGACAGTGCCCTGGCCATCACAGTTACCACGTTAACAAATATTATTGCCTTCCTGATTAGTTCTGTTTCTCCCTTCTATTCTATATGTAGCTTTTCCCTCTTCACCGCGAGCTCTCTCTTCTTTGGGTACCTCATGGTTCTCACTCTTCTCCTCAGCTTCCTCTGCATAGAAGGCAAATTAGAAAACAAGAAAAGGAACGTCTTCTCCGGTACTGCTCTCCTCTTCTGCTCCTTCTTCCGCAAGGGAAAAAATGACAAAGGAGCAAGAGGTGTGACTCGAAGCAGTTCCGGTGCAGCGTTACCCAGTACACCAGTTGCGCAAAGTGGTCCTGGTGTAGCTGCTCCTAGAGGGGGGGAGCATACCGCTGCTGCAACAGAACAGAATAATATCTCCCTGCAGATGGACAAAAATGATGAAGACTATAACAAAACACCAGTCGAGTATGAAAATATTTCAATTTATGAATGGATTCACAATTTATACCTTTTTGAAGAATCATTCAATAAAAAGAAAAAAAATGCTACCGTGTATTCCTCAAATGAGATTAGCAGTAAAGGGTATAATAACGAAAATGGAATGCAACCTTACCTTGCTCCACATGATGGACTCACGTTAGAAAATGTATGCCTGGAAAAGAAGAAGAGGAAAGGTGGTGGAGCCGCTATAGATGTAGCATCAGGAAAAAGCAGAAATGACCAAATGGCACTTAATTATTATTCCTCTTCCGTAGCAGCAGGTGCGCCAAGCACTACCCCCATGGAGGACGACGAGGAACAACCATCATCTTCATCGCAACCAGTGAGACAAGATGTGTTAGAAATGGAACAAGGACAAATGATTAATACAAAAGGAGGAAACAAAATTACAATTGTAAATGACATGTTTGTTACTCCTAATAAAAATGCAAATGGAAATGACTTAGATGATAGTGGTGCAGATAGTAGTGGTGTGGTGGGAGGAAGGGCCACCACTGGACGTGCTCGAGAAAGAAAGAATTTGTTACAAGAGAGAGAGAAGGGTCGTCTTATATGTGGTGATGATCCTCATGGAGACAACCACCAGTACAATAATTCAACAGAAATGGCAACCAAGGATACACTACTCTTAAGTAACCTACACGATACAGATAAAAAAAATATTTATTTGTTAAGTTCACATGATAATGCCCTTTTCTACAAGTACATATACGAAGAGCCAAAAGGGAATATAGGAAAATATTTCCGTTCCCTGGTGAAAAATTATTACGTCCCCTTCCTCTCCTCCTCCATGGGCAAAGCAATTGTGTATGTCATGTTCACCTTCATCCTTATGCTCTCTGTTTATGGGTGCACGTTAATGAAGAAAGGAATTAAATACGATAAAGCCTTCCCAGTAGATTCATATGTAAGGCTCTTTTCTGAAGCGAAAACGAAATACTTTCCTCACTATGGAGACATGATAGAAGTATATTATTTCGACAAGGATTTTATTAAAAAGTACAGGAAATTGAATAATCAGGTAGATGTGGTCCCTTCCTCTGTTCTCTACTCCGATAGGACAGACAGAGGAATGATGAAAAACCCTAAACTAAATAAAAACATCCACTGGGAAATGAAAGACCTGCAAGATGAAATAATTGACATGAGTGATCAGATTGAAGAACAGGATTTCGTGTCAGGGGTAGCCAATGGATTTACTCTCTTCCTTAACAGCAATAGTAAAAAACTGAAAAAGGAAACGCCTGAACAGTTCTACGATACCTTTGTTGATTGGATTCAAAATGATTATGTGGGAAATCTTTTTAAAAATGATTTTGTGTTTTTAAACAAAAAGCTAGTCGCATGGAGATACTTTTACTTCCAGGTCAATGTAGATGACTCTGAAATTTCTTCAAAGTGGTTAAAAACTTGCAAGGAGATAAGTAAATTGGAGGATCACAATGTGCAATTGCAGTGCTTCCACATCAGTTCCATTTTCAACGAGACAGACGAAGCCATTATTGAAGTCACGCTCATCAACCTGGGTATCACCATCATTACCATCCTCATTGTCACAGCTTATATTATTAAGGGATTCAACTCCTGCCTCATCATCGCCCTCATTATTTTCCTCATCGACCTCTGTATCTTTGGCTTCATGTGTTTGTGCGGCATCACCGTTAACATCATTTCCATGGTCATCCTGGTCCTCTCAGTCGGTGAGTGCCCCGGTGTTGCGATTTGCACCGCCGTGCAATATGTTGCGATGCGTTGCGATATGATGGAAAATTGCAGCGCTTATTCATTTCACGCTCTCCTCCCCCCCCCTGCAGGCTTCTCCATCGACCACACCTCCCACATTGTCCAGGCCTTCACCCACAGCATGGGAAAAACACGGGACGACAAGTGAGTTCCCGGAGGGATGCATCGCGCCACGCGCATGCACATGCACACATACATACACACATATATACTTACGTACATGTAAATATGTATATGTGTATATATGCATATGTGTATATATGTGTATATGTGTAGAGAGAGAGCCCAGGCAAACACCGCTTCATGCCCATATGTATGCTCCACCCCACCCCCCTGCAGGATGAAAGAGAGTTTGCACCTCATGATAGGGCCCGTCCTCCACAGTGGACTCTCCACCTGGTTTGTGATCAGTACCCTCTTTTTTTCGAACAAGGATTTCACTGTCATTTTTTTCCAAACCTTGTCTCTGGTAAGGCGCACCTGGGTGCTCACATTTGTGTCTACTCGCTGCTGAGCGACCACATGTGCATGTCGCGGCAACCTCGCATGGTCACATCGCATGCCGACATCATATGATTACATCACGTGGCAATCACGTTTCCCTCCCCCCCCCCCGCAGGTTCTCTTTTTTTCCGTGATTTTCTCCTGCGTGTTGTTACCAGTGCTGCTCTCAAGCTTTGGCCCCTTGTAACCCTTTTCAATTAAAAAAAAAAAAAAAAAAAAAAAAAAAAGGCATATGAGGGCACGTCACCGTTTTGCGTGTGGCTTCCCTCAGTATATGTCCTGTCCTACCATCTGTTACTTCCACATCTTTACCTCTCTTTTCACGTCCGCTGCCCGTTTCATGTGAAGAATTAATCCCCCCCCACATGTTAGTTTTTATATATTTCCTTTTTTAATTCAAATTTTGAAAGCTGGTCGAGTTCCTTGCCACGTGTTTTGTGTGTGTGCGCGAGCGAGTCGAGCAGTTTTTCCTCTCCACCGATTTTACCGTTACCACGCACGACTTCTGTAATATTTTACTGTCCAACACTTGTGCGCTTCTGCACATGTGCGTGGATTTATATTGTCCGCCTCTTTTTCCTTCTTCTCTTTCTTCTTTTTTTTTTTTTTTTTTTTTTTTTGCAATTCCGTTTTCGTATGTGCTTGCCCACACAGGGGTATGTACATATGTGTGTCCACACATGTGTGGGTGATTCCCCACACAGAGGGAGAGGTGGTACCAAATAACACGTGTGCCTCGCCCGACCCCCATCTTCCTTACCTTGGCTTTTACCACTCGCATTGTATATATACTTTTTGTTACGTGCGTGCTACCAAAAAGATTGACAAAACTTTTTTTCTTTTCTTTTCTTTTTTTTTTTTTTTTTTTTTAAAGTTATTTTTATTTAGTGTTTTTTTTTTTTTATAATAGTATAATTTTAAAAAACATATATTTTTTTTAAATTTTGAGAAAAAAAAAGAAAATTTTTTTTTTTTTTTTCCCGTTCTTTACTGGATGTAAAGTAGTAGTTGTTAGACAGGCTGCTGATGTTGTGAGCAGCTCGCTGCAATGTACATGTGGGATGGACACTTCTTTCCGTTACGCTGCTCACACGGCTCATGCCGCTAGCGCTGCTAACGCTGCTAACGCCGCCAACGCCGCCAACACCGCCAACACCGCCAACACCGCCAACACCGCCAACACCGCCAACACCGCCAACACCGCTAACGCTGCTAAACGCCGCTTACACGTAGGCGGCGTGCTCGTCCTCCCAGATAAAAATTTTGGGGTCCCTTTTGCAGAAGGCCCGGACGGCCATGGCCAGATTATCTGTGTCTTCCATCATGCGTCCCCTGCAACCAACTTTCAAATTCGGCGGAATCTTTTCCTCCTCTGAGTACAACAGCTTCTTCACATCTGCAACGGTGAGCCCATCGTCTAAATAAAACTTGGTCCCGTTTTTCCATTTTGTCTTTGTGAATTTATTATACATGTGATTGTATTTGGTGTAAAGGTATTCCTGAACACTCGCGATGTTGGTCCAATTGCTCACTCCTTCACTCGTCGACTCTTCTCCCTCGGTCAACTGATTCGGGTAAAGCTTCTCCTCATTGATATAAATGTAATACCCCAACTTGGTGTCCGCTCTGTACCGAGTACACCATATGACTCCAGGAAAGAGAAAAAGCATGACATATTTTATGTGGCTCTGTGCGTAGTAAAAGGAATGGTAAAGCTTCTTCAGCCGGTAGTTCACGTCCCGGAAGACGCTGTTCCATATGTACCTCCTGTACATGGCGGTCTTCGCTTGGGTGCTGCTTGCCGGGGCGTACTTTCCTCCCCCTTCCCCAGGAAGTGCAAAACGTGTGCACAAGTGTGGTCGTGCAGGGAAAGGCCGCTAACGGGAAAGATCACGACAGATGTTTGTATTGTAACCTTTTCATGTGATTCAGCACATGAACTCCACGAGCTCGCTTAAGTGTAACTGCCTTCTTCCTTGTGATGGGTGTTCGAGGTACGTCAAGTGTGGGGGGTATGGCCTGCTGCTTCGCAACGGCTTGGGTAATTCGAGAAGGGCCATTCCCTGCCGTTACAGTTTATCGCGCACAAACGGATTGTGAGCCCTTTTTCCCATCTGTTTTGTGTGTTTTTTTTTTTTTTTTTTTTTTTTTTTTTTTTTTTTTTTTTGCCTGACGATGTTCCTCGCCAGTCGTTTTGTAATAACCGAGAGGAGTGTGAGTGTCAATGTGGCATAACCTCAGGTCATCCCTTCATCATGTGCAAGCACTTTTTTTAAGATCTTTCAACGCTACGCGGCCCAATGCAGAAAATATAAATGGGGGGGACGGAAAGGAAACAAATACGCACGTTAAATGAGGCATTCCTAGCGGTTCCTCAACCGTTGTGTGAAGCGACATGTGGAATATGTAGCCCTGCCAATGGAGGGGATAACTTAATTGCAAGGGGGGGAAAAAAAAGCATATGTACATTTTTTTTTTTTTTTTTTTTTTTTTGTTGCACTCCCTTTGTCATTTTCTACATTGCACCACAGCTCCACTGTTGCAGGGGGAACAAAACGGACGTACACCCATGGGAGGAAGCGCACGATTCGTCTGCGCTGTTTTAGCGAGCCAAAGAGGGGGGAGGCGACTTCTCCCTACCCTGATGGCGGTGTTTTTTCTTTTCAAATGAATGTCCGTTGAAACAAAAGAGGGGGGAAAAACACAAAAGTTGGAAGTGGCCAGTGGTTAATCATTCCCCCTTTGAGGACAAAAAAAAAGATTCAGTTGAGCAGCGCTCACGAGGAGGCAACACAACTGCAAAAGAGAATACTCCTACTTGTGTGAATTACGCAGCAAGTAGGCTGCATAAGATGCTTGTCAGGGGAGAATAACACGTTTGTGTGAGTCCGAGGAAGCGGGCAAAACGGCCCATTTGCAAAAAAAAAAAAAAAAAAAAAAAAAAAAAAAAAAAAAAAGTTTAAAGAGCAAACAATGCACACCTTATATAGGTGCAAATATACACTCACGTCACGGAGGCAGAGTTATCCAATTTTACGTTTATTTTTTTTTATTTCATTTTATATTTATTTTTTAATTGCTCTCCAACATGGGAGGCGGTTGGCACGAGTGGGTGAGCAACCCAAATGAAAAGAAGCCCCGCCACTTCATATGAACACGCACTTTTTAAACGAGAAAAAATTCAGACGCCAGGAGAAGATGATCCGAAGGTATTTTCCCATTGGGCAGTACTTCACTCTTTCTGTTTGAAGGGGCAAGAGGGGCAAGGGGGGGAGGAGAAAATGGTTCAGTCAGATGACCATGCAAATGCGAATGGCACACTGAAAAGAGGGGGAGAGTCCATCAGGTGAATTGCGACACACATGCAAAGACTATGCGAAGGGGGCAGTTGTGTATATCCCTCACCCCAGGTCTTCAGGAACAGTTTTGGCCGACAGGGGAATAAGTCCTTTAAAAAAAACAAAGTCTATACACCCAGAGAACGTTGTCGTTTTGTTCGTGAATTCGGGTTCGGCTCCGTTAACCTGCTCGACAAAGGGAATTTTCTCCACGATGGGGTGATGGTTCATGAGTGATGGTTGGTGGTTGGAAGTGAATTTAAAAAATATTTTTTTTTTTTTTTTTATCACGTTGGCTACTCCCCTCTCAGGGGGGATTTTACCTCCTTAAAGGCGCTTTGAAACGGATCCACCAGGAGGTCTGGGTACCTCAGGAAGGCTTCGTCGTTCCGCAGCTCCGCCTAAGGGGTGGTGGCGTGTGAAGCATATTATTATAGCATCGGCATGATGCTCTTGTGGGGTTTCAACCCCCCGGGAAGGGGCTTTACCGGATGGTGAGGGTGCTTCGTGGGCAGTCTGCCGGTGGTTATAAGTCTGCAGTTTGGGGGGAGCGGTGAGAATTGATGATACCATCAGCCCGGGTTGCAATTAAAATTTTTTTTTTTTTTTTTTTTTTTTTCCCCACATGGGGGACCACCTTACTCGTACACTCCGCTCAGCTGGTTGTCCGCGACGGGTCCTTGCAAATGCTGAGAAAGGCAGTTTGACGCAAGCAGTGTGGGGAGCGCTATTTGTACAGCGCACTGTGCAGAGCCCCGTTTGACGAGCCCACCTGGCGCCTCGCGTGGACACGGTCGAGAACAGTGCAGGGCCTACCAAACGGGGAGTGGAGTTGAAATCCCCCACCAGCAGCAGAGGGACAAAGGGGAAACGCTCAAGGGCGGAACGCACAAAATGAAAGAGCTCCTTAACAATGAGGAAGGTGTGAAAAACCTTCACGTCTGCATATGCGGGGTTCCAGTGTATGTGACAGTTACAAACGGATAAAAGGGTTTTCGTCTTCCAGGTCATGTGCGTGTGGAGGGGAGGTTGAACAGGAAAGGGTGAGGGAACGTGAAATGCACACATGCATACACAAAGGGATGAGAAAAAAAAAAAAAAATACTCTACGTCTAAACTTTGCTTCGCGCCTACTTGGGGAAGCTCCAGGAGAAGCATCGTCGCCATACTGGTCCTCATTCTGAGCTCCTTAATGAATGCATCCTCGATCTGATGATTGAAAAAAAAAAAAAAAAAAGTAATTTCTCTCTCTCTTTTTTTTTTTTTTAAATTACTCCTGATCATACTTATTTTCCTTCCTCCTGTTGTCTTCCCCATGGTGTGCACTTACGTCACTCTCCCCCTGGTGAGCGTAACGCAAAAGATGAGTGGACACCGCCTCGCTGAGATTAAAATGTTTTTTGCCAAGCAGCTTGAATTTTTTGCTAATGGGAGAAACGACAGGGAAACAAAAATGGGCTATACGATGGCTCCCCCATAAGGTGCAACGTTCAACAAGCGTTGCTGAATGTAAGCGAGCCATGTCTGCTGTCGCCACGTCTGCTAGCGCCACGCGTGCTGTCGCGATGTTGGCTGCGTGAGGGAAAATTACTCGAATAAGACGCAGCAGTTGTTGCTGTTCGGTGTCAGGGTACTTTGCGGGGGCGCCACCAACGTCATTTTATAATAAGAACATTCTTTTTGCAGACTAGGGATCATCACTGGGGATACCTCCTAACGGGGCAGGGGAAAAGCAAGTGCACAGGGGGGTTGCAATTCATTTTTGCTAAGATTTGTATGAGGGTGCTGTCCCGCTGGAGGAGTGAGAGGTCAACGCGGTAAAATTCTGCTCATCTGAAGAAACCGCCCATCCGGGGGGAATTTTCTTCCCCACCTGTAGGCACATGATGTCAAAAGGGGTGCACGAAAACCTGTCCCTCAGGAACTTCACTCGGGAACCACTCTTAAAACGCGTGGGAGTTATACTCTCCGTCGCTTCGCGCACCGAGTGCCATATGTCATTGTACATGTTCCAGGAGCCTACTCGCATTTTAACCCCCATTGTGGGCAGTCGGGCCGTGAAACAAACACACCAGCAGCTGTACACCCCACATGGTCATCCCTTGTTCCATGAGGTTTTAGGGCGTTGTGCAGGGTGGGAGTGTGTCGCAAGAAGAACATATGAGGGACGCGAAAAAAAATTGTGGCAGCGGTTCGCTCACGTGTTATAGCATCACAGCGGTGTTGTCATATTTTTTTTTTTTTTTTTTTTTTTTTTCATCCCTCCCTGTGGTGTAGAAAAACAATAGAGGGGGCTTTCTCCATAGGGTAGAAGTAACACCACTCAACATCGGCCAGCTTCTCAACCTGGGCAAGCCGCTGAAGTCTGGGCAGCCGCTCAAAATGGGCAAAGTTTGTCAACATGGGCGCGCATCCGACGCGTCTGCTGCGGCCTGCGTTGCGTCCCGCCACGACTCGGCCACGTCGGGCCCCCACAAGAAGCTTTACCCAAACTGCTAAGAGGGAAAAAAAAAAAAACTACCCCCACCCCTGGAGAAAAAACAAAAAAAGCAACAGCAACACATATCGGGAATCCATCTTCCATGAAGAAATAACACACAAGGAAAATGTAAACAATAATGAAAATATATTGAAAATAATTCAAACAAGTTCAATCACCAAGTTCAGTGTGCAGGACTGTACTTTGTTCCTCAATTACCTCATTCGTAATAAGAAAAGCAAACACACACAGAAGGAAGTAAAGAATTTTTGTAGAGTGAAAGTGAGTTCCTCCTTGTACAAAGAAGCTATGAGCAAAATTATAAACTCCGTACTTACCTATGATGAAAAAAAAATTTTTTTTTTTTTTCAAAAGTTTGTGGAGTTGAGAGATTTAAATGCTATGGAGCACATGCTAATACACATGCACACAAATCAGTTGTTTCGATCCTTCACCCTGTACAATTTAACTGAACTTTTTTATAATTGTGCCATCCTCAACTATAAGAGGGAGAGGAGTGAAGAGGCTTTGAAGACCATCATCGATTACCTACTGTCCAATGCCATTCGCGCAAATGAGCACTTAAGACACCTGGAGAAAAAACTTGTCAACCATGCCACTGTACAGGGCGCAGATGGGAGACCTGTGTACATACGCAGCTTTGCCAAGAGTGGCCGCCGTCATGAGGGAACTGTACCCACCGTGAGGAAGCAAGAGAACAGGAAGAATAGCAGTCGCATAACTGTGAGAAGTGTCGATGAGCAGTGCGCCAACCCATTCGACGTAAACTCCTTATCCAACGTCATGCTGTACAAGCTAATATATGGACTAGCCAAAATGAACAGAAAGAGAGAACTCGTGAGGGAGCTGCTCACGTTGCTCATCCCATACGTACGCTTCAAACTACAGAGTACAGATTATGTATTTTCAAAAGACAGACCTGATATCATTACCAAGATGTTGTGGTCTTATGCATTTGTACAAGTGAGGAACGTTAATCTGTTTCTCGATTTGTCCCTCTCCATTCAAGTCTCAATTAACCAACTCAAGCTGGATGAGCTCAAAATTGTAAAAAATATTTTTTTAAATTTTTTCATATATGATGAGTTACTACTGGATACACTGGAAGAGCGCATCGACTACATGGAGGAGAAATGCCCGAGACCCTTATCGCAGCCGAGGAAGAAACCTTTTGTAAAGAAAAAAAAACGAGTGGCACTCACGGACCAAATCAAGCTCAAGTTGAAGCGGTGAGGGGAAAAACGACGTACAGGCTGCTTCCCCCTCACACACACTTCCGAACACCCCGTCGTGGCATGCTTCCCCTCAGAACAAGTTTGTCTTCTTCATAATGCGCATGAATTCCTCTTCGTTAATTTCTCCGTCTCCGTCTCGGTCGGCTTCATCGATCATCTGTCGTTTGGCCCAGGAAAGGGGAAAAAAAAAAAAATATACATATATATATGCATATGCATACAAATAAATAAACAAATAAATGGTGGGGACAGCACACGGATGAATTATTATGTGCACGACACACAGGTGAACCAGATCAAGTCAAGCTGTTCATAATCGAATGCGAAGGAAAATGTCTCTCTGCAAATATGCAACGTTCGCACCTCCTGTATTTCCTCATCAGTTATGTTTTCTCCAAGTTCCTTCGCCACGCGCTTTAAATTCTGGGAGGTCAAAAAAAAAAAAAAAAAAAAAAAAA